TGCATCTTCGCACAAACCCTGGCCATTCTTACTGTGCGAAAACAAATCCCCGCTTTTCTCGGTGTTCCCCCTGTTACCTAAGGTAGCTCACCGCCCTGGAACGTCGACTCGGCGCAACACCAGAACCTCCGCACACCCACTTTGGACGCGCACACAGGACAGGCCGTCCCGAATCGCAGCCGGAGCTTCTCCGACAATCAGCCATTCCCACTCAGCACCGCCCATCGCATTAGGAGGGATAAGACCAAGGGGGCCATCGCCGGGCCCTGCTCTTCTCTTTTTTCGAAATGTCATCGTCGTTGGCCGACCAGGAACCTCAGCCAGAGGACCAGCAGCAGCCGGCGGATCATCAGCCCGACCCTCAATCCGATTCCCCTGCATCGCCAACTGCCTCTCAGCAAGCGACAGCTCACGCCTACGCCAGCAATGGACTTCAGGTCCTCCAAGCTGCTTCGGATGCTGCAGCTGCAGCGGCTATCCAAAATGTCCAGCATCATCTGAGTACCGTTGCAGCCGCTGCCGCCGCCGCCGATGAGCAGCAATTACAGCAACAACACCAACACGAGCCTCAGCCTGTTGAGGAACAACAGCAACAGCAACAAGAACAGCTGGCCATGTCCTCGGCTGTCGAGCAAGACCAAGACCAGCATCATCAGCAACACCAGCCGCCGCCGCCGCCGCCGCCCCCTCCTCCACACACCCCGTCCCAAGCGCCGCCTCACCAACTTCCGCCGCAGGCTTCTCATGCCTCGACACTCACAGGCGCTCCGCCCGCATCTCCGCTGGCCACCGATGGCTCTCTCGGTGCCGTGTCACAGAGCGCCATGTCTGCCTTCCCTCACGCCTTCGCCCCGATGCCGCCCATGCCACGAGACCCGACAGTCAACCCGAAGCTGACCCGCTTGCGACGCGCCTGCGATATGTGCTCCCAACGCAAGGTCAAGTGCGACGAGTCCGGTCCGCCGTGTAGGCCATGCTCCGAACTCAATGTCGAATGCACCTTCAACCGAGAGCTAAAGAGACGAGGACCCCCGAACAAGCATGCCGAGGCTGCCAGGGCCGCTCGAAGGCAGAGAATCGAGCCTGGCATGAGTGGTTCGCCCACCACGGCCGCCTTCACCTCGTATGGCGCTGCCGTTACACCCTCGCCTTCGCCGCACAACGCTGCGCAGGCTCTGGTTTCGATAGCAGAGGGACCGGGTCGTTTGGATGCAGAGGCCATCGCGCCCTTGCCCATTCTCGAGCTCTTGATCGACGACTTCTTCACCTACATCCACCCGCTCGCCCCATTCCCCCACGAGCCGACATTCAGACACTCCTTTGCCAACAGAGAGGATAGAACGAATCCCGAGTTTCTCGGCTTGCTGTCCTCCATGATCGCCTCTCTAGTGTCTTCCTTCCCCCGGTGTGCCAGACAGCACCTCAAGACCCAGCACAGCACCCACCTCTTTCCGAGGGCCATAGTCATGATTGAGAGATGTCGAGATATTGCCCTCGATACGCGGGGTCCTCGATGGGCCCTGAAACAGAAGACGTTGGATGATGCCGCCACCAGCTACTTTCTTGGGCTCGCGGCAGGCTACACTTTCCAAGTCCCTCGCTTCCGCTACTTCATGTCTGAGTGTCTGTCTCTCATTCGGGAGCTTGGCTTCCACCGGCCCAAGCATCCCAATGAGCTTCCCACCTTTGGCAACGATAATTGCTCGCCCGATCCCCTACCTTTCCACCACATAAAGGACCAGATCGGCAAGCGCATTTTTTGGTGTTTGCTGCTCGGCGTCAGGTAAGTTCCCTATCTTCTATCATGCAGGTCACGTATAGATCTACTCACACACACATCAAAGGTCCTTCTCACAACTAGGCGCCTCTCATGCCGACTTGGTCATCGCCCCGTCGACCCCTGGACTGCCATATCCTGCCCTGCCCGAGAACGTCGATGATCTTTACATCATGGCCAACGAAATCGTGTATCCTCCCGAAAGCTCTGTCACTCTGCTTACTGGTTTCCGCTTTGCCGTCGACATCTACACGACCATGAACGCCATTGTCAGCGTGGAACTCGTTTACGGCATGAGCACCCTTCCGTGGTCCGATCAGAGGTCTCTGCTTAAAGACGCTCTCATTGCCGCCAAGGACATCATCGACCGGCTTCCGCCCGAACTTCAACTCAGTGCTTCTCATGAGCAGTCCAGCGGATTCGGTACCCTTGAAGATGCCGAGCTCCAATACGTGCCTCCCGCGTACCCTAGTAGCCAGCCTCCCAATGATGTCCGAAATGTGATCAAGAACCACCCCCAACGCCGGCGGCAGCTTCAGTACGAGATTCAAAAGGCTAACATCTACATTTCTCAACTGGCTACGCGTTCATTCTATGTCGAGTTGTACTTCAACTTGCGCGACGTCCACATGTCCGACCCCAACAAAGAAGAGCAAGTTGGGGATAACGCCGAGGAACAAGCTGCCAAGGGAGCCGAGGATGCAGAGGCAGCCCGTGTGTTTGAGCTGATGACGGCAGAGCGGGAGCTGATCGTGCAAAATCTTCTTCACGTGCTGGGCTCCATCTCACAGCGCAACCTCGAGCCTAACGGCGGTTCCCTCATCAACAAAGTTCGACAGGTGGCCTCCACCCTCCTCAATGACGCCCCGGAGCGGAAAGGCCCGGTAGCTATGAAGTCGGAGGAAGCACTCGTGAAGCTCATTGACGTCCTTCTCAAGCTCGAGGGAACAGGGCCAAGCGGTAGCAACATGGCTGGAGAGAACATGACACCGCAGGATGAGGAAGAGGAGATGCGAAACTGGGCTCATTTGCGTGATTACCAACAGCGCTTTGCTGCCCATGGTGGTTTTGCTGGAAATATTTGATGAGTAGCCATGGAGTCTACTTTTGCCAACGACAGCGGCATCGATGAGGGACAGTGGGATGTATCAGTGTTTCAACTATAGGAATTCTCAATCTGGGAGCAACGAAATGGGTAACAGTTACCCTTGTCGATGAAATGGCTTTGAAGGCGTGGCAGAGAGAAGCGTAATCCCGAGGAAGTGGGACAGGACATCGGATAATAACGATACCAGATCATTCTCAACACATCATCATCCTCCGTCAAAGAGGAGAGGTCTCTTTCATCCCTTCACACGCTGTAATTGTTGGATGGATACGTGACGTTGAGTGAGGGGGAGAGATGGGAAGCAAGACGGTCCAATCAAAGGGATTTTTGTTCAAGACCCAAGATGCAACCTGCAGGAGGCCATCCATCCAGGCACAGGGCACCTTGGACTCCCTAAGAACCTCCAGATGGAGGCCTAAAGGTCACTCTTCTGCCAGCAGAATCATCGCATCACGGAACTGCCTACTAGAGAAGCTCCTGCCAAAGACACAAAGATAGGAGAAGTACCCGATCGTGGAAGGGAACAGCTTCGCACCTCCCTAAATCCTGACCACTAGGTTTCCTTGGGCCTTGCGGCCATCTCAATCTTTCTCCGACAACACAACCATCACCAGGTCCTGGAAAATTAATTCTATTGCAGTAGTCATCACGATGTCTCTTCGTCAGAATCTTACCAAGCCCATGGTGGTTGATGCTACCGAAGGCCACGACCACACCCACACCGTCGTCTTTCTCCATCGCTTCTCCGAGACCACCTCTGAGGAGGACCTTAGTCGAAAGGTCCTGTCCGAGAAGCTGACGATGAATCACAAGACCCTCCGCGAACAATTTCCCTCAGTCCGCTGGGTCTTCCCCTACGCCAAAGCCCATGCTCGTCCTTGGAACAACCTCACGCCCGAAGATCGAACTGCAGTCGGTATGAACATTGGCAGTCTCCCCTACATCGCCCAAATCATCCTTCAGGAAGCAAACAAGGCTGGTGGTCTCGATCGCATCATCCTTGGTGGAATGGGACAGACTGCCGAGGCAGCTCACGATGCGATGACGTCCTTTCCCGAGTGTAAGATGGATGCCTACGATAATGCCGACGACATGTCGTCGTTCCTTCGAAAGACCTTCCACGCCGACTGCACGAGTCTTGAGCATCTCAAGCTCGCTGGTTTCGTGGGAATGCACGCCCAGGACGCCAAGATAACATCCGACGTCAGAAGCATGGCCGTCTTGTCCAAGGAAGTATCCACAACGAAGAAGAAGATCAACGCTACCCTCGTCGCGCAGACCCCTCACAAGTTCATCAACGGCGGCTACAAGATTCAGAACAAAACCTGGGACGGCAACCGCATCGATGATTTCGCTAGCTTCCTCGAAGCCATTGGCGTGGAACGCGGTCTCGATATCAAGAAGACGAGCACCGAGATGCTCATTCCCAAGAACCGAGAACCGACCAAGAAGTGGGATCCCCGTGATTCTCTCAGCGACGCCCAGAGATACGCCCAAGAGATCCTGGAGCAGAAGAAGGAGAATGAGGAAATTAGGCGAAAGCTGCTTATTCGCATCGAGGCTGACAAGGTCGAGCGCAAGATCAAGGACGCGCGCGAGAAGGCGAACCGAGGCAACGTCAACAGTAAGAATCACTGGCTGAAGCCGGCGGATTCTGTCAATGTTCTCGGCGGTGTTGGGTACCGCTCCAGCCTCTCTCAGGAAGAAGACGAGGACCAGGTAGGAATGCCGTTATCCCGCAAGTCAAATTAAGCTAACACAGAGCAATCCAGCAATGAATAAATCAGCAGCGGCGATATTAGCCTCATCCAAAAGGTCGACCTCATTGATCCAAAGAAGGATAACATAACGATGTCGTTTCCATAACAATAGACAGGTGCTTGTCCTTGATACTCGCTTATCCTATGCCTTGAATTATGAGTTTAAGCGTTCAAGAGAGAATTTGACTCAGATGGGTCAAGATTCTGATGTCCAGTTGAATATTGGGACTGTCAGTATCTGTCACTTGATGTTCACAAGGCTTCTCAAGTATGGGCGATCGGAAGACGAAGGACTCGGGTATCTGATCTGGTTTTTACCTGTGTAAATGAAGCTCGTCCAGACTCTTCCCATCTACTAAATCAGGATACCTTCTTCCACGGCCTTAATTTGTAGGGCTAAGAGCCGCGAATAAGAGCGACACAGGGCGAGATTCCCACCCATGTAGTAGAACCGCGGATGGCCGCTGCTTCTCCAGATCTGCCCGAGGTTAGTCGCCTTTTCCAAGGTTCTGGTCAACATCGAAAAACTTACAGAGTTGATCTCGCCTTGCTCATCAAGATCCCAACACTCCTTGACTCGATCCGCCACCTTGTCGCCTAAAATATTACGCGTGCTAGACCTCATGCCATCATATCCCGTCGCCAGCACAACAATGTCAGCATCCAAAGTCGTACCGTCCGCCAACTTCAGACCGTTTGGCGTGAAGCCGGTGATGCCCTCAGGGCTATGATGAACCTTGACCTTCCCGTCGACTATCAGCTGACTGCAACCGACGTCAATGTAATATCCTCCGCCGCGAGTGATGTATTTGCGGTAGATACCGCTTCCATCAGGTCCAAAGTCAAGTTTGAAGCCCGCCTTGTTCAGACCGTCTAGCAGCTCCTGGTCGGCGGCGGTGATGGCCTTGGTACCGTGCGTGCTCAGCGCGAATTGCACGGGGATCGGGATGCTCTGCGCGACGATGTCACAGTCTTCGGTTGGGGGCCCGCCCTCCTCGTACATTCCCTTGTGCATCACAAAGATTCCCTTATTCGCTGTAATGACATAGGTACCGCCCCTTTGGATCATCGTCACCTATGCCGCGCCGACTTCGTAAAAGTTTTGGCAGATATCGTGGCTCGAATTACCGGAGCCCACGACGAGGACCTTCTTGCTGGAGAGATTGTTGACGAGGGAGGCGTCTTGGTGCTGGCTGCCGTGGTATACTATACCCTTGAAGTCGCCTTGTCCGGGGAATGTGGGCGTGATGGGATCACCGGCTTGGCCGGTCGCCAGAACGATGTGACGAGGCTTGAGGGTGCGGAGGGTGCCATCTGCCCGTCGAAGCTTGACGGTCCATGTCTTTTCCTGCTCGTTGTAGCTTGTCTCCTCAATGTTGGTGCTGGTCCAGATGTTGAGCTCCATCATTTTTGCGTAAGACTCTAGCCAATCTGCAAGCTTGTCCTTGGGCATGAACTGGGGCCAGTTTCCGGGGAATGGGATAAAGGGGAGATGACAGTACTGAATCGGATCATGGGTCATCAAAGTCTGCATGTGAGATGAGTGTTCAGATCAGCGTTAATTCCATCGCAGACTAGAGATTGTGATGAAGACACCAGAAAGACTGACCCTGTATCGCTTGCGCCAGCTGTCCCCGACGTGCTCATTTCGATCCACCAGCAGAGTCGGGAGGCCAAGATTCCGTAGACGAACGCCGATATTGAGCCCAGCATGCCCTGACAAGACAAAAATAAGTCAGCAATTCTTGACTACCAGCATCGAGGATATGCAACTCACCGGCGCCAATGACCAACACAGTAGGGTCTTCATCGACAAATTCCACCTGTCGTTCGCGCCTCTCCTTCCAGTTTCCCCCCTTGGGATCCACGTGACCCGTAGGCCTGCTGACTCCCACCGCTTCCTCGAACCCCTTCAGTTCTAGGAGGGTGAAGTTGATCATGAAGGCTTTCCAGGTATCGTCCGCCTCCAACGCCAGTCTCACCATACCCTTGCCACGGCCAACGCTGGACTGAAAGTCAAACATGCTCTCCACCCAGTGAACACCAGGCGCAGGGTCCCCGAAAGACGGCTGGAATGCGCCCTTCTCCCGGGGGACGATTTGGCGGATACCTGCCCGAGGCTGATTTTCCTTGAAAAATGTCGCGATCTCGTCGAGGCCGTTGATGGTCCTGAATTCCCATGAGAGACCGAGAAAGTCTCTGATCCAAGCATCTTCGCGGAAGACAGTCGATAGACCGTCTTTCACGTTGTTGGCGAGCACTTTCTCAAACGCCTGTGTCCAAGTCTTGATGATTTTCCGTGCATTTTCGGGTGTTTTTGAAGTAGGTTCCCTGAGGGTGGGGAGTTTGATGATGTAGTCGTTCTTCGCCATGATGGGTCTATCTCTATCCTTGAATTAGCAGGGTATTCGCCGTCTATACCGGTATGAATATCACGGTAAACTTGGATGACGACGTTCGGCTTTAAATGGGAGCTGAGCACGATCGGGCAACATTAGTCCGCACCGCGGTAGCTCTGGCGATCGGCTGCAAAGTTCACAGCTTCATGCAGGATCCTGGGATCTGATTGCCGAAAGCGAAAAGACTCGGCCCGCTGTCGCCTGCATCATATCGGTTGATGGACACGTCCAACGCATCGATCACGACCAATAACATTGAGAAGCCATCAAGAACCCAATGGGCCCTGTCAGATATCAGCTACCCCTCCCCGACAGCCCTGACATGACCCAACTCCAAATCCACTTGTAAATGCTGTGGCTGTTGGGGCACCAAAGTGGCTCGCTGCAAGGTGGCGCGACACCGCGTGAGGGGTCGCTTGGTCCCGCTGATACCCTCGTTCTGTTCTTATGTTGTTAATGATTTCAATTATTCAGAAGGGCCGCGTCGATGTTTTGAGGCAGGCAATTGTTCTCGCCGTTCGATAAACACCATCAGGTTGATGCTCCAGAGACAGAATGAAGGTAGATTCGTGATGTGAGATGAAATGCGCTCTTCACATACGATCATTCATCTCAATGACAACATGAAGCCGATACGTCACTGAACGAGGGTTGCTTCGGACCACACTCGGCCGATGGCACTGAAGTACTTAAGACGAGGAGAAACGCCTCCCAAACATCCAATACGTGGGGGTTTTTCAGATTGAAGAAGAAAACAGCTTTTCGATATGAATCAATAATTATCTCTACCGAAACTGAGAACAAATTTCGTCAAATTCACGGGCTCATCTTCAGTTCTATCTTCTTGACCATTATATAATCTCACGACGACATAAACATCTGGTCTCAACATGGCGACAGCGGGGATGCAAAACCCGTCCTGGTTTCTGTATGGCCCAGGCTCAGCCAAGATCATGGACCGGCCTACTCCTACTCTCAAGAACGCAAAGGAAGTGGTTCTCAGGGTCAAATACGTGGGCGTGTGTGGATCTGATGTATGTCTCCTTTCAGCCCAATCGACTTGATGTTGATCGATCTCTACTAGGTGCACTTCTGGAAAGAAGGAGGGTTCCAGCGCAAAGTCAGCGACGAGAAGCCTATCGTGATGGGTCATGAAGCCTCCGGTACCATCGAAGCAGTCGGTTCCGCCGTCACCAACGTCAAAGTAGGCGATAACGTAGCGATCGAGCCAGGGGTTCCCTGCCGATGCTGCTCAGCCTGCAAGAGAGGCGAATATAATTTGTGCGTCTCGATGAGGTTCTTCGCTGACCCTCCGGACTCCCATGGGGCCTTGACAAAGTATCTCGTAATGCCGGAGGACTTTGTCTACAAGGTCCCTGACGAGGTGAGCCTCCAGGAGGCGGTCCTCGTGGAACCCACCGCCGTCGCCGTCCACGCGGCACGTCTGGCTGAGATCAAGTACGGGCAAGATGTCGTCGTGACTGGGTGTGGGACGATCGGATTGCTCTGCGCGGCTGTAGCCAAGGCATTTGGCGCCCAACGCGTCATCTTGGCTGATATCATCCAGGCGAAGCTGGACTTTGCGCATACGTTCCTCGACTGTCAGACATTCTTGGTTGAGCCTGGGACTCCGAGTGAAGATGTTGCTGCGAAGCTACTGGAGACAGTTGGTATTACCGGCGGAGTGGACGCTGTCATTGAGGCGTCGGGAGCACAGTCGTCAATCCAGACGGGCATCTTTCTGCTCAAGAGTGGCGGCAGTTACGTCCAAGCTGGGTTGGGTAAAGCCAAGCCTGAAGTTCCCATGCTGGTTCTGTCCGAAAAGGAACTCAGAGTCCGAGGATGTTTTCGATACGCCTCTGGCGATTATGAGTTGGCTTTGTCGCTTATTGCAGAGGGCAAGGTGAAGCCTAACGCGATGCTGTCGAGTGTGACCCCCTTCGGGACGGCCACTCTGGCCTGGGACAAAACTGCAAGGGGCGAAGGAGTTAAGAATATCATTGAAGGTGTCAGAGATTGAGAGAAGCTCTTGCTTGAGTGTATGTAAACATCTCCGCCGTCTTCTTATCATAACCCATATTAGGACAACGATTAACGTGCTGCGCTTTCTAAAGCGTATTCTCACAGGAATATGCAGGATACAGAGAGTAGGAGCGGTAACAATAGTGCCAAAAATAGCAGCAGCTGCTGCAACAGTAGTGATAGTCAGAATAGAACTGAGGTATTTGGCGGCGAAATACTTCATTGTGTCACCCACTTGGCTTACTGAACTCGCTGGAAACATGAAATGCCATCATTTATGCCGAGTCTGCGTACTCCCAGATGTGCTTCTCTATAAAATCGAGGGCCTTCATATCCTCATTCTCCTTCTTGATCTCCATCACCCGCTTCTTGTACTTGTCATTAGCAAGCACCTCCTCTACTCCCTCTGCAACTTGTTGCGACGTTGGGCGACCAGTCTTGAGATTAACAGCTACACCCGTCCATTGCCCACGCATGGAAATCTCCGGCTTGTCTTCTGTATCGCCTCCGAGCACCATAGGTACCCCATTCACTATTCCGTGCAGGAAGCCTCCATAGCCAGCATTTAGGACCCAAACATCTGCGTGCTTGAGCAGGGCGTCGTACGAGAGGAAGTCGACGACCTTGGTGTTGGCCGGAATCGTGAGCTCCTCGGGAAGTGTCGCACCCTTGACACCCAAGATGGCAACGAGAATGATATCATCGCGGTGAGCCAGACCTTGTATCGTGGGGATGATGAGATCCGTGTAATTGATAGCGATGGTACCCTGGGCAACTCCCACAACCTTCTTGTTTCCGGCCGTGATTTCACCCCACCATTCTGGGTACTTGTAGTTCGGGTCGGTGGGCTTGGGCGGTAAACATCCCGCGTACTTGATGACATCGGGGAGATCCGATCTGGGGTACTCGAGGCTGGGCGAGCACATTTGCAGGGTAACGTCGTAGCTGGTTTGCCATGATTCGAACAAGGCTGGTGGCAGCTCGCGCGTACCGCCGAGAGCCTTGACGACGTCGTTGTACTCCTTTGCTGCCGCACCAAAGGGGCCCATCGGGCTAAAGAACATCTCATTGAGGAGCTTGTTCCGCCCGCGGCCGGACTCGGTCGAGTCGGGGGGCAGACCGGGTCCGAACGGCGCAGTGTCAATGCTCGTGGTCACGACGGGGACAATGTTGATGTCGACGACGGGCGGTCTCGTGGTGTAGCCCTTAGGTAGAGGCGTGCCGTACATCATAGGGGCAAGACCCATGTAGAACGTCTCGTGGACAATGACGACTTGCTTGTCGGGATGCTCGACACGGATCTTCTCGAGGGTTTCCATCAGGACATGGAAGTGAGGCGTCACAGCCTTGATGAAGACGTTGCTTAGGTCGTACATCAGGCGGGGTATGCCAACAGGAATCTTTTCGCGAATGGCTTGCTCCTCGGGGTTCAACATGGGCGGAATGCTAACATGCTGGGCACCGATGCGCTTGACTTGAGGGTGGAATTCTTCGCCGGCGATGAATGTGCTTTCAAAACCGCGTTGGATCATCTCATCAGCAACCTGAAGGAGGGGATAGGTGTGTCCTGTTGCTGGTGCCGCGCAGAAGAGAAGGTAAGGCCGCTTCTTGTTGCCGTCGCTGACACCATTGTTGGCCGCTGCTTCGGCAGCCTGAGCTATAGAGTCTGCTGACAGTGTCATGATCTCAGTACTTTGTCTCTTTCAAGAGATTCTTGGGGTGAGTAAATAGATGCTCGAATCGTTACTTAAGAGCAGAGAGAAGGATGACATCAAGATGAGCGGCAGCACCCAGTGATTTATACATGTATGAATAAGAGAATCTCTAGGGAAGACGCAGTACGCGGGGAGCTTCAACTCGATGCGGTCACTCATCTCGGTGAGATTTCCATCCGTACGCGCGCCGTTGGGTCGAATAGTCGCCGGCTTCATTGCGTTCAACGCTGCATCGGGCCGCATTGCGAAAGGGAAATCTGACAGCAGATTTTAGTACGTCAAACGGCCCTATCCTGCCTGTCTCTAAGCCTCAAGCTTGTTGTATGGGGCCATCAAAGAGCCAGTCAGCATGCACTAGTCGTATATCGTACACCAGTGTGCGTAAGGCAGCGAGTCATTGTGAGATGCTGCACAACCTCTGTGTCCACGTGAAGAGGAGTCGAATGGGCATGTTGTAGGGTCTTACCGGCGGTATTGAAGCCCATTGGTGTCATACTCTGATTATCGACGGTCCACGTCTCTACGGCGCGATGAGAAAGGACACTGCAGGATCAGGGTCCTTGCAGCCAAGTCTCAGCCCGTCAGCGCGACGTCTAGAACGAACGAGCTAGTGTGGCCGTGGATTGAGGCTAACGGTGCTAGCATCGTGGATGATGTAAGTCGGCGGATTGGCTTCGTTCTGTAGCTTCAGGCTCCAGTCTTGCGGCTATCCGAGTGCCGAGCTTTGAGCCATCGCCGGAAAGGTCCTGACATGGCAGATCAGCTTCTCTTGAGAATGCTCTTAGCCACCTGAGATCATCGGATGACAGGGCCCAAGGGGCATCTGCCATCACCGGTAGAGAGTCTACCGGCAAAGAGGGGCCCGGCATGGATAAGTGCTTAAAAAGAAACGTTCATATGTGAGGTGGGGGTTGACGCGTGGTTCGTCGTCAGACCATAAGGGAGGTTTCACGATCGAGATGTATTGACAATCGTAGGTAAATCACATATCGAAAGACGAAATACTCTGGACAACAGCCTGCTGCCTTGTACGCGCTTCACAAGTTTGTCAGCCTTTGCGATTGCGAGGTCTCGAAGAAGAGTAAAGTAGAGAGAAGGGCTAGTAGTAAGATGGCGCATGCAGGTAAGCTGACGCTCTGATATCCTGCCACTTGCGAGAGTCTCATTGGCGCTCTTGGGAGTTTGATGGATTCTCGATGATCTAGAAGACGATGCGAGCCATTGATGGGGCCCTTGCGAGCGAATGATCAAACCTGTGCGACAAACAATGTCAATAGTGAAAGTGTTGACAGTTTGATTTGTGTTCGTCTCTTCGTGAGGTTCTATTGTCTTGGCCATTGGACCACAGAGGCCTGTAACGTTTCCTTAGCCTCACACAATGCGGATGAAGCGTTCCCGGATGATGAAGAATGAGCTGATGGACGTCGTTGATCAACACTGCATCGGCGTCGGCAAACAGCAAAAGGCCGCGCGGGGACGACGCTCTCGCGCGCGCGGGATGATCCCCAAGAAAGGAATGTTGTATCGTTATTAATGGGTCTCGGCCGTTATGTCTCATCCGCTTTGCTGGACAACTCTCGATGCTTGATCAAATGTCTTGGTTCGCGCGCGCGACCTGACCAAAGGCACTCTGCATGTCCCCCCATCACCGTCGTTGTTCTCGAAACCATTGAATGTTCCGATATTTCCATGTCCTTTTAAGATCCCAAACGCCCCACCAAAAGATGTAATGCATGCTGCAGCCGCCCGATGCTGCTTTACTTGAGGCCTGGTCAAGCAGTCCCTTTTCCTTTGCGATCGCCTGTCCGGGCGAACAGGTCCTTGAAGCTCCAGTGCCTCCTGTCTGAATCGTCTGATGGTCCGGATGAAGGAAATATGGAGAATCGAGAGGATGACGAGCTTGACTTGGCTGAGCCGTAGACTTCGGTCGGTCGCCCTGGCAAAAGAGCAGTTAGAATTGTGTTCAAAAACGCAACGCAGGAGACCAAGGTGGCATCAAACTTACTAATGTTTCCAGCCCCTCCAATCCCGTATCCTCGAAACTGGCGGTCTCTCACCGCAGTCTCCTTGACATCGTCCTCCTCTGTGTCGCTGCTCGCATTATCCAAGCTCTTCCTCCTCCGCACTGGTGCCACTGTGCTCCCAGCTACGCCCGACTCGAACTTTGCGCTCGCTGAGCCCCCCGACCCGTTGCCGACAACTGGCGAGGGCAGCTCCGGGGCCACTGACGGCGTGGGTCGCAAATTCACTGTGGACACGCTGCGAACGACAGCGAGTCGGCCCTGAACGCGGACGCGGTGTCGGCGCTTCTTCGTGGGGATGAGCTGGTCTGACTCCGGGTCGGGTTCCCCCGCGTCGTCTTGGGAGTATCGGTGCTGGTTCGAGAAGGGAAGCATCGTGGGAATTTGGTGAAGCGAGTCGAATTGGGGGTAAGATCGGCGAAAAGAGGTTTGTCGTGGTTTAAGGTTGCAGTGTGATAACGCAGTGCTCTGGCCAGCTTCCGCCGGGATGGACACGAACAATTAAGGGCCCTCCTGGACAGGAGAACTGAAGTAACGCAATTGAAATGTAGAAACAAGAATCAAAACAGCGGCTGGGTTTGAATGAATGGACGCAAACGAGGTGACAAATTCTCGTCGCACGGGAAGCGGGCTTGGCGCGGAACTATTTCATCAGCTCGCAGCTCAGCGACAGTATATACACACAATATTCACAAGCAAGGTAGAGGAAGAGAGCAAAGGAATGCGTTAGGGCGTCGCATCATGAGCGGCAGAAAAGGTAGAAAGGGGGACCAACGCCCATATGTTCGCCCCCAGACGAACGACTCAGCCCAGTCCAGCCAACACGAACTCGCCCTAAGCTAAGCACCAGCTGCTTTGATGACTACTAAGTAGATAAGAAGACGGCGTGCTTGGGGTTGATTGCGCCGCTTTGCTATAGTCACCATGCTGATTTCCTTCTGTCAAAGCTTCTAGCAATCAAATCTGGGCTCCTTCGCCTTCCTTCGGTGTTCGGGGGCGGACGAAGCAAAAGGTCCCCCCCCCCCCCCCGCCCTCATTAACTCATTAAACCTTGCATTGGCGCGAACCCCTGGCAGAAATGGGGGCTACGCTGCAAAAGAGTCCAAAGCAAGGAATTTTGGGGTGACATCGCCGGGGAACCAACCCGGATTTGCACCAGGGCCCGTCTCCCGCCCCGACCAGGTTGCCGGCTGCTTCGGATTCTAAGATTTCAAGGGATTCTGCTTGTTTTGTTTTTTATCTATTTCGCTCTGGTTCAGATCTATCCGTATTTCTTGTTGTTCATGGAGAAAATACCATCTGACAGAAAAAGTTGCGCCGTGAGCCCAAAACAAAGGAAGCCCTGGAAGTGAGATCGATCAAACGTTGCACCAACAGCCACAAACAGCTAGGCTCAGCAGTAACCCATAAGAGATTAGTTCTCACCTCACAGCCATAGTCTATGGAATAGCATTCGATGGCGCCTTGAAGCTCTGTAGATCGCATCCGGGACACGGCTTTTTCGAGTGGTTGTCAGGTTTTCTCATCTCAATTTGCAGTTTTGTCACAATGATTTAGGTGAGCTCTGGTTTGGTGAACAAAGGAAGGTATTATTGATATTACGTATTACATGATTATCAGTCTTGTGTTCGCTTAAGAAACGTCCTGCATCGCGACTTGCGCAGAAGAAACCAGCGAGTTTCTGAACAAAGAAAGGCTAGAGGTCAGATACCCATAGTAGACAATTTCATAGTGTGTTTTGTTTTTGCCGCAACTCCATCAAACATAGGAAAAACCGACAGAAAGAGAGGAAAGAGTGCTGTAGAAGCATTTTTGGACTATTAGGCGGCCACGTTCACCGTGGCGACGCCAAAGAGGCGCAAGTTCAGGCAAGCCACAATGTTCGGGCCCGTCAAGGACAGGTTCAAACAATCCGAGGCGATGCCGTTGGACAAGAGGCCGAGCGAAGTTACGCAAGAGATGAGGTTCGGTGCGCTGACAGTCACTGCCACGCCACCGGTCGCGTCGACGCCCAGGTTGACACAGCTCTGCGGTAGTGACGTGATACACTGCGAAGCCAGCGAGTTCTGGATACATTGAGCGTACGATTGTGTCTGGGCTCCGAGGAGACTGCCCACCAGGCCGGTAACGCTGCCGAGAGTACAGCCCAAACCGGAAGCCAAGTTTGATACCGTGCTTCCCAAGGCGCTGACGACGAGGCCAGCCTGGCAGAGATTGAGGTTGGCATTGATTTCCGACGTTGAGAGTGTGACATCCAGTAGAGCACCGCAGGCTGCCGGAGCGCGGGCGCAAGCTGTGCCGGAAGGACACAATACTGTGCTTGCCAATCCGGCGACTGTTTGACCGACTGGTAGTCCGAGAGCTCGCTCGAAACAGTTGAGAACGGCCGCGCCTCCTTGGTTGGTGACGCTGGATATGATACAGTTGCCTGCTGTCGTGATGGAACCAAAGGCTCCAAGGTTGGCGAAGCATAGAGCGGCGTTGGTCTGGACATTGGCAAGAGTCTGGCTGGATGCCGCCAGGTTGGCGCAAATTGACGGAAGCCTGGTGAGACAGGTACCCGCCAGAGCAGTCTGAATACATCTGACGTGGTTGAATCCCAGGACGTTTCCCAACAGAGCAATTTGTTGCAAGTTGAGACAGTTGCTGACGGTTCCAATGTTGGCAGTCGCGCCCAAGGCTGCAGTACAAGCATCGAGTGTCGACTGAGAGTATGATTGCAAGATGACACCCGTGAGACTGGCGCAAGCAGAAGGCAAAGTGATTGCGGATCCAGTTGATGGTAGGCAAGTCGGGGCGGCGACGCCGGTGGGCGTCGGGACACAGCCGGATGGTGCGTATGAGCTAGTGACGACGCGACTTGCTGATGCGAGTGCCGTCTGCTGCAGTACTGTGTTTCCAACAGTTGTGGTCCGCGTGCCGGTGAAGGCACCAGTGACTCCCGTGAGGATCGTGGTGTACGATGTGCTTGAGGGGAGGGCGGTCTGCTGGACGACCGTGTTGCCAATGGTGGTGACCTGAGTGCCAGTAAAGGTGCCGATCACACCGGTGACCACCGTCGTGTAGGAGACTGGAGGAATGGCCGTCTGTTGAAGGACGGTGTTGCCAATGGTCGTGACTGCAGTTCCGGTAAAGGTGCCCGAGACTCCCGTGAGGATTGTGGTATACGGCACGGCAGTCTGAGCGAGGACCGTTCTCGTTGCTCCGGAGCCCGCGAGGGTAGTAAGAGAGGTTCCGGCAAACGTGCCCGGAACACCAGTGGGTACCGTGTTGTAGAAGACCTGCGGCAGAGCCGTCTGGGCGATGACTGTATTACCGATAGTAGACAGAGAGGTTCCGGTAAAGGTTCCAGTAATTCCCGTGACGACCGTGGTGTAGGGAATGGCCGTCTGGGCAACGACTGTCCGAGTAGCTCCAGAGCCCGAGAGAGTGACCAAAGACGTTCCGGCAAAGGTGCCCGGCACGCCTGACGGGATGGTCGTGTAGAAGATCTGAGGCAGGGCTGTCTGAGCGAGAACCGTGTTTCCGATCGTGGACAGGGAAGTTCCGGTAAAGGTGCCAGAAACTCCAGTGAGGACCGTCGTGTACGGAATGGCGGTTTCTGCCACGACAGTTCGGGTGGCTCCGGTTCCGGAGAGAGTGACCAGCTGAGTACCGGCAAAGGTGCCTGCGACTCCCGAGGCGACCGTGGTGTAGAAGATCTGTGGCAAGGCTGTTTGGGCGAGCACCGTGGCCACGCTTCCGACGGCGGGAAGCGTTGATAGCTGCGTTCCCGTGAAGGTGCCGGTGACTCCCGTGGGCACGGTAACGTACGAAACCACAGGCAAGGCCGTTTGGGCGAGAACGGTCGCGACGCTTCCGACGGCGGGTAAAGTAGAGAACTGCGTTCCAGTAAAGGTACCAGTGACGCCAGTAGGAACAGTAACGTAGGAAACGACGGGCAAGGCTGTTTGAGCCAATACTGTGGCCACACTGCCGACAGCAGGGAGGGTCGAGAACTGGGTTCCGGTAAAGGTGCCAGTGACGCCTGTAGGCACCGTGACATACGATACCACAGGCAAGGCTGTCTGAGCAAGAACAGTGGCCACGCTTCCAACAGCTGGAAATGTTGAGAGCTGGGTGCCAGTGAACGTGCCGGTAACTCCCGTGGGCACCGTGACGTAGGACACCACGGGCAAGGCAGTCTGGGCGAGGACCGTGGCAACGCTGCCAACAGCAGGGAGGGTTGAGAATTGCGTGCCGGTAAAGGTGCCTGTGACTCCTGTTGGGACAGTCACGTACGAGACAACTGGAAGAGCTGTCTGCGCCAGTACCGTGGCCACGCTTCCAACGGCCGGCAACGTCGACAAACGGGTGCTTGTGAACCAGCCAGTAACGCCAGTCGGGACGGTTGTATACGAGATAACTGGGAGAGCGGTCTGTGCCAATACGGTGGCCACACTGCCAACGGCGGGCAAGGTTGAGAATTGCGTGCCCGTAAAACTGTCAGTAACTCCCGTCGGGACGGTGATGTAGGAGATGACTGGGAGAGCGGTCTGCGCCAAGACGGTTCCGATAGTTCCAGAGACTGGCAAAGTCGACAGTTGGGTACCCGTGAAGGTTCCAGTAACGCCAGTAGGGATCGTGAGATACGAGATGGAGGGGAGGGCGGTCTGGGCAAGGACAGTTCCGATCGTGCCGGTAACGGGCAAGGTCGAAAGCTGCGTGCCGGCGAATGTTCCAGTAACACCAGTCGGGATAGTGATGTACGAGATGGATGGCAGAGCAGTCTGGGCGAGAACGGTTCCAACGGTACCAGAGACTGGCAAGGTAGAAAGTTGAGTGCCCGCAAAGGTTCCGGTAACGCCAGTTGAGATGGTGATGTATGAGACCGAAGGTAGAGCAGTCTGTGCCAACACTGTTCCAATGGTGCCAGTGACGGGCAAAGTCGATAGCTGAGTGCCAGCAAAGGTTCCGGTCACGCCAGTTGGGATCGTGATGTACGAAATCACAGGCAATGCGGTCTCCAGAAGTACCGTCGCAATGGATCCCGTGATCGGTAACGTGGTTGTCTGAGTGCCGGTGAATGTTCCTGTAACTCCAGTAGGAATCGTGATGTACGAGATGACCGGGAGGGCCGTCTGCGCGAGCACAGTACCAACGGTGCCAGTGACTGGAAGGGTGCTGAGACGGGTTCCTGTAAAGGTTCCGGTCGCTCCAGTGGGAATCGTCACGTAAGAAATGACTGGGAGAGCAGTCTCCAGATAGACGGTGCCAACAGTCTGGCCTGGACCAGTGGTAGGCAAAGTGACTGTAGAGGTGCCTGTGAATGTGCCAGTAACCCCAGTGGGGATGGTGATGTACGAAATGGCCGGGATAGCGGTCTCGAGAACGACTGTGCCGATGCTCTGGCCGGCTCCCGTCGTGGGAAGCGTGACAGTCTGAGTACCGGTAAAGCTGCCGACCACTCCGCTCGTGACAGTGATGTACGAGATGGCCGGAATGGCAGTCTGAAGGACAACAGTAGCGATGCTCTGTCCGGCTCCGGTGGCAGGGAGAGTGACGGTTTGAGTGCCTGTGAAGCTGCCCACGATGCCACTGGTGACGGTGACGTAGGAAATGGGCCGGATGGCCGTCTCCAACAACACGGTGCCGACGCTTCCGGTAGCCGGGAGGGTGGTTACCGAGGTGCCGGTGAAAGTACCAATGACACCAGTGATGATAGTCGTGTAAGAGACAATGACGGAGCTGGGAATAGCGGTCTGAAGAACGACGGTTCCAAGGCCTCCTCCAACAGCCGGCAAGGTGGTTGTCTGAGTGCCGGTAAAGCTGCCAGTAATTCCACTGGTGACGGTGAGGTATCCAGTGGGCAGGGCGGTCTGAAGCAGGACGGTTCCGAGACCGCTGACGGCCGGAATCGTCGACGTCTGGGTGCCAAGGAAGTTGCCCGCGACTCCGGTGAGGAGAGTCGTGTACGAGATCGGGATCGCGGTCTGAAGCAGTACCGTACCGATGGTTCCAGTAGCTGGTAGGGTGGTCGCCGAAGTTCCAAGGAAGGTTCCGAAGACGCCAGTGACGATGGTTGTGTAAGACGTGGCTGGTGGTACGGCCGTCTGCAGAATAACAGTGCCAAGAGTTCCCGTGACTGGAAGAGTCGTAGTCTGGGTGCCTGTAAAGGTGCCAACGATGCCGGACAGGATGGTGGTGTATCCAGTGGACAAGGCAGGAATTGCAGTCTGTTGAAGAACGGTTCCGATCGTGCCTGTGACGGGAAGAGTAGAGAGCTGGGTGCCGAGGAATGTTGCTCCCAGAACTCCCGTAGGAATCGTAACATAAGATGTGACGGGATTGGGAATGGCCGTTTGTTGAAGGACGGTGCCAACGGTTCCAGTGACAGGAAGTGTAGAGAGTTGCGTTCCAAGGAACGTGGCTCCCAAGATTCCGGTCGGTACCGTGATGTACGAAGTGGCAGCGGGCAGAGCCGTCTGTTGCAACACGGTTCCAATCGTGCCGGTAACAGGCAAAGTCGAAAGCTGGATACCCGTGAAGGTAGCTCCCGCGATGCCAGTAGGAATCGTGACGTACGAAGTTGCTGCCGGAAGGGCTGTCTGCTGGAGCACGGTGCCGATGGTTCCAGTAACGGGCAGTGTCGTGAGTTGAATACCGGTGAAGGTACCACCAATGACTCCAGTTGGGATCGTGATGTATGAGGTGGCAGCCGGAAGAGCAGTCTGTTGAAGGACCGTACCGATGGTGCCGGTGAAGGGCAAAGTAGAAAGCTGGATACCGGTGAAGGTGGCGCCAATAACTCCGGTGGGAATCGTGATGTATGAAGTAGCCGCCGGCAGAGCTGTTTGTTGAAGTACAGTTCCGATAGTTCCCGTGACTGGAAGAGTAGACAGCTGGATGCCAGTGAATGTGGCACCAGCGACTCCCGTGGGAATTGTAATGTACGAGGTGGCGGCTGGGATGGCCGTCTCCAACAAAACGGTTCCAATGCTTCCCGTGACTGGAAGAGTTGTGGCGCGGGTGCCGGCAAATGTCCCGCCAGCGATGCCAGTGAGAATAGTCGTGTAGGAAGTTGTCGGGACGTCCGGAATAGCCGTCTCCAAAAGGACAGTTCCAAGAGTACCGATGACAGGCAGAGTGGTTGCCCTCGTACCAGGGAAGCTGGTTCCGGTGACACCAGTGAGGATCGTAGTGTACGAAGTCGTGCCGGGGCTCGGGATTGCCGTCTGAAGGACGACGGTGACGAGTTCGGGGGCCGTGGCGGCGGCAGGCAAGGTAGTTGTCTGGGTTCCTGCGAATGTACCAAAGATGCCAGTGACAATGGTGACGTAGGAAGTGTTGATCACGATAACCGAAGAGCTCGAAGACGTGCTGCTGACCGATGGGAGAGCAGTCTGGATGAGAACGGTCGCCACGTTGCCCGTGCCAACGATGGGAAGAGTGGTTGTCTGAGATCCAGCAAAGTTGCCCGGGATGCCTGTGAGAAGCGTGGTGTAGGAGATGGCGGGCAGTGCAGTCTGGAGGACGACAGTTGCCAGGCCGTTGGAACCGACAACAGGCAAAGTGCTGGTCTGGGTTCCGACGAACGTTCCAGGGATACCTGTGAGGATGGTAGTGTACGAGACGCTGGGAAGTGCAGTTTGGAGGAGAACAGTGGCCACATTTCCGGTGCCGACAACGGGTAGGGTAGTCGTCTGGGTGCCAATGAAGCTTCCAGCGATGCCGGTGACCACAGTCGTGTATGACAGACTTGTGGTGGGAATGGGGGTCTGAAGAACAACAGTTCCGAGGCCGTCGATGCCAGTGCCAGGCAGAGTGGTAGTCTGGGTTCCGGTGAAGGTGCCAACGATTCCACTGAAGATCGTAGTGTACGAAGTAGCGGCAGGGAGAGCAGTCTGAAGAACAACTGTTCCAAGGCCGTTGGCGCCGGTGCCAGGGAGGGTGGAAGTCTGCGTGCCGATGAAAGTGCCTGGGACGCCCGTGATGATCGTGGTGTAGGAAGCCGCAGTTGTTGAGGGAACGGCCGTTTGCAAGACAACAGTTCCAAGGCCGTTGGTGCCGACCCCAAGAAGGGTAGTTGTCTGGGTTCCAGTGAAAGTGCCAAAGACACCGCTGAAGATTGTCGTGTAAGAGGTGATGGCGGGAAGGGCAGTCTGGAGGACCACGGTAGCCAGGCCGTCCGGACCAACACCGGGGAGAGTAGTGGTCTGGGTGCCGGTGAAGCTGCCAGGAACGCCGGAGACGATGGTCGTGTACGATTGTACAGCTGATGTGGGAATGGCGGTCTGCAAGACGACGGTAGCCGTGATGCCGATGCCGATACCGACTCCGATGGACGGAATGGGCAGGGTGCTTGTCTGAGTGCCAGTGAAGGTTCCCAAGATACCAGTGACAATGGTGATGTACGTGATGCTGACGCTGCTTGTGGGCGATGAGGTGGCAGAAGGAAGAGCGGTCTGCAAGAGAACCGTCCCGACGCTGCCAGAGATAATTGGCAGCGTGGTCGCCTGCGTACCGATGAAAGTTCCCGGAATACCAGTCAACAATGTGACGTAGGAGAGAACTGGGCTTGGAGTTGCGAGAGCGGTCTCCAAGAGAACGGTGCCAACAGTTCCGGTGACAAGGGGGAGCGTAGTCGTCTGGGTACCTGTGAAGATGCCAGGGACTCCAGTCAGGATTGTGGTGTAGATGATACCAGCGCTGCTCGAAGTCGGCGTAGGAACGGCGGTCTGGAGAATGACGGTGCCAACTCCGTTGGTTCCCGCGGGAAGTGTCGAGGCCAAGGTGCCGACAAAGGTACCCGGGATGCCCGTGACGATAGTTACATATGAAGCAGCTTGTACTGTGGGAACAGCGGTCTGAACAATGACCGTGGCAAGACCATCAGAACCAGCCGGGAGCGTGGTAGTCTGCGCGCCCAAGAAGGTTCCTGGTACTCCAGAGAGCAAGGTGGTGTATGAGACTGGGCTTGCTGTAGGCAGAGCAGTCTGGACAATGACAGTTGCGAGTCCATCGAGACCGGCTGGCAGCGTTGTCGTCTGTGAGCCCAAGAAAGTGCCCGGGATGCCAGTGAGCAATGTTGTGTACGAAGTTGGGCTTCCCGTTGGCAGAGCTGACTGAATGACAACGGTGGCGAGGCCATCGGGGCCAGCAGGAAGTGTTGATGTCTGCAGGCCCAAGAAGGTTCCTGGAAGTCCTGTGAATACGGTAGTGTAGGACACAGGGCTGGCTGTCGGAAGGGCAGTCTGGATGACCACAGTCGCGATTCCGTTGGTACCGGCTGGCAAGGTGGAAGTCTGCGCACCAAGGAATGTTCCTGGGACGCCCGTGAGCACCGTGGTGTACGACAGAGGGCTCGATGTTGGCAGAGCTGTCTGGATAAGAACGGTTGCCAGACCACCGGGGCCAGCAGGAAGGGTAGTCGTCTGGGCGCCCAAGAAAGTGCCAGGAACGCCGCTGAAGATGGTGGTGTACGAGAGCGGGCTGGCCGTCGGGAGTGCGGTTTGAATGACCACAGTTGCAATGCCGTCGATTCCGGCTGGCAGAGTTGTTGTCAAAGGCGCGGTGAAAGTGCCAGGAATACCAGAGAACAAGGTCGTGTACGACGTTGGGTTGCCAGTGGGCAGGGCGGTCTGAATGACCACCGTGGCGATGCCGTTGGATCCAACAGGCAATGTGCTCGTCTGAGCGCCGATGAAGGTGCCCGGGACACCAGTGAGAACAGTCGTGTAGGACGTAGGGCTTGCAGTCGCAGTTGGAAGCGCCGTTTGAATGAGCACGGTCGCGATGCCGTCAAGCCCAGCGGGCAACGTAGTTGTGATGGGCGCGATGAATGTGCCGGGAATGCCAGAGAACAGAGTCGTGTAGGACGTCGGCACACCAATAGGCAGCGCGGTTTGAATGATCACAGTAGCAACGCCGTCAGGTCCAACTGGAAGAGTGCTGGTCTGCGAGCCCAAGAAGGTTCCAGGGATGCCAGTAAGCAATGTCGTGTACGAGGCGCTTGCTGTTGGGATCGCGCTCTGGACAAGTACGGTAACGATTCCATCGGGACCGGCGGGGAGCGTGGTTGTCTGAGCTCCGATGAAAGTACCGGGGACGCCGGTAAAGCGAGTCGTGTAGGAAACACCCGAGGTAGGAAGAGCGCTTTGCACGACAACAGTAGCGAGACCGTCGGGGCCCGCGGGCAAGGTCGTGGTTTGAGGTCCGACGAACGTGCCGGGCACGCCAGAGAAGATGGTGGTGTACGAGACCGGGCTTGCGGTGGGCAGGGCAGTCTGGAGAAGAACGGTTGCGATGCCGTTGGTACCAACAGGCAAAGTTGTCGCCTGGGTTCCGAGGAATGTGCCCGGAATTCCCGTCAAGACTGTAGTGAAAGAGACACCAGCAGACGGAACGGCGCTCTGGACGAGGACAGTTGCCAGTCCATCGGGTCCTGCTGGAAGGGTCGATGTCTGAAGACCAGCAAAGGTGCCAATGATACCCGTGACAATTGTCGTGTACGAGACAGTGACGCTGGGGCTGGACGTGGCCAGAGGGAGGGCAGTCTGGATGAGAACGGTGGCAGATCCATCATTGCCGGCGGGAAGGGTAGTTGTCTGGGTGCCAATAAAGGTTCCAGGAACACCCGTGATGAGAGTGATGTACGAGATACCGCCGGTGATCGTCGGTGTCGCAACGGAGCTGCTCGTCTCCGTGAGGGGAACGTAGACAATGACCGTGTTGGGCAGGGTAGGATCGCCGCTGATGCTGACCAGAATTGTGGTGGTGATTCTTGTCGTTCCGGTGTAAGGGGAGAATATGGTGGTGAGGTCACGGCTGAGAATCGAGGTCGGAGCAGATGTAATGGATGGCAGCGAGGCGGACGTGCCAGTGATCTCCGGGACCTGCACAATGACGCTTCCGATGCCAGATCCCACAGGGGGGATTGAGAAGGTCGTCGCAACAGAGCCGGTGATGGTGAGGGTCGTGTAAGACGCGAGGAGGGCAGTCGGAGTCTGGATGACCACGGTTCCGAGGCCGGTAGGGTCGGCGGCTGGGATGGTAAAGGTCGACGCACCTGGGCCACCAGAGGTGATGGTGGTGAACAGGGCTCCCGGGCTGACAGTAGGTGTCTGAATGATGACCGTGCCGAGGCCAGTGGGATCAACAGCTGGAAGCGTGATAGTGGAAGCGACTGGGCCACCAGAAGTGAGAGTCGTGAAGAAGGCTCCGGGGCTGACGGTGAGGGTCGGTGTCTGGACCACAACCGTGCCAACGCCACCAATGATATTGGGTAGAATAGTGCTGGTCGCAGCAACCGGTCCTCCCGTGGTGATGGTGGTGAAGATGCCAGATAGAATTGACGTGGGCTCGGAGATGATGACCGAGACGATGCCATCCAGTCCGGTGACCGTGGCTGTGACCGGGAGAGCTCCGGTGCCTGGAACGGTGGTGAAGATGGTCGAGGGAGTGACCCCTGGGGGCAAAGTAGTGCTCGGGAGCTCCACGATGACAGAGACGATTCCACCAAGGCCGCTGGCCGTAGTAGTGGTTGGGAGAGCACCGGTTCCAATAATGGTGGTGAAGACCGTGGTAGGAACAACGGGGCTCTGGCCCGAGGTTGTAGGCTCCAAAAAGATGACGGAAACGACTCCATCCGCTCCCGTGATAGTGGTCGTTGCTGGCAGAGCGGCAGTTCCGGGAAGCGTGGTGAAGACCGTGGTCGGAATAGCTCCTGAGGGAAGAGTAGGAGTCTGAAGAATGACAGAGACGATTCCGTCTTGGCCGGTGACGGTAGTAGTGGCAGGCAAGACTCCAGTGCCCGGCTGAGTGGTGAAGACCGTAGAGAGGATCTGTCCAAGAGCCGTTGGGGTCTGTACAATGACGGAAACCACGCCATCAGGGCCGGTGATCGTGGCAGTGGCCAAGAGTGAGCCAGTTCCAGGCGCGGTTGTGAAGACCGTGGAAGGCGTAATGGACGGCAAGCCAGAGGAGACGGTCGGGGTCTGGATGATGACCAGACCAACTCCGGTGGGATCCGTTGGCAAAATAGTCGTCGTTGCCGGAACGAGACCAGAGTAGCCGCTGGTGACGGTCTGGAAGATGGCAGGAAGATCGATGATGACGGTCGCTGGGAGGCCGGTGCCGGCGGGAGCGATGGTGGTGGTACCGGCAGATGGTGCGCCAAAGCGAGTTGAAGTAACCTCGGCAAAGACGCCGGGGATATTGACAAGAACCGTGGTTGGATCTCCAGGCTGAGCGGGAGTTTCTGTCTGGATGAGAGTGACGGAGCCGCTGTAAGTGTTGAAGATGGTTGTGATGCCACCAATCGTGGGAGACGCCGTGGCTGTGGCCACGCCAGGAACCTGGATCATGATCGTCTGGGCACCATCGGAGCCCATTGGCATAGTTGAGGTGGCAGTAACACTGAGACCAGGGATCGTCGTCGTGACGAGCACCAAGCGACGGGGGAGACCAAGAACAACAGTAACCACATCGCCAGTCCTTGACGGAACAAGAGTCGAGATCTGGGTGGCTGAAGCCGTGATGAAAGAAGTAATGGTTGTGTACGTAGTGCCGTCCGAGATGGTGAGAGAAGGCGTGCTCGAAGGCACGGCGGTCGGGACTTGGATGAAGACAGTGCCTGGCAGACCAGAGGCAGCGGGAGCGAGCGTCTGGAAGAGAGTTGAGGCGCCAGAGTAGCCAGTCGTGACGGTGATGTACGAAATGATGGACTGAGTGACCGAGATGGCGGGCGTTGTCGTGGCTGTGGCCGTGGCAGTGGGAACCTGGACCACAACGGTCGCAAGTCCATCTGCGCCAGTGACAGAGCCGATGAGAGTCTGAAGAAGCGAGCCATCATATCCACTCGTAACAGTCGTGTACGAAAGACCGGGCAGAGTGGTCGTGGGCAGAGATGCCGTGCTAGTGGGGATGTTGACGACCACGGTGATGTAGCCGTCAATGCCGGGAAGAGAGCCGATGAGAGTCTGGATGAATGAGCCTCCATAGCCGCTGGTGACTGTGGTGTATGAGACCGGAGCCGAGACAGTCGGGGTAGATGTGATGGAGGCTGTTGGCACCTGGATCACAACCGTGGCGAGGCCATCAGCACCAGTAGCGGTACCGATGAGGGTCTGGAGAAGAGATCCAGCGTAGCCGCTTGTGACGGTGGTGTAGGAAAGACCGGGAATTGTTGCAGTCGGGGAGGTGAGTCCCAGAGTTGGAGTCTGGATGACGACCGTCGCCAAGCCGTCTGCACCAGTCTGCGTTCCAATAAGAGTCTGGAGAAGCGAGCCGTCGTAGCCACTTGTCACAGTGGTGTAAGAAAGGCCAGGAATAGTAGCAGTCGGCGAGGTAATGGCAATTGTGGGCGTCTGAATGACCACTGTGGCCAGCCCATCAGCTCCGGTCTGCGTTCCAATGAGGGTCTGGAGGAGAGATCCAGCGTAGCCGCTGGTAACTGTGGTATAGGAGAGACCCGGAATGGTGGCCGTGGGTGAAGTGACGGCAATGGTGGGAGTCTGAACGACAACAGTAATAAGACCATCGACACCAGTGACTGAGCCGGTCGATGTGGCAATGACAGATCCATCATATCCAATGCTGACTGTAACGAACAAGCCAATGCTTCCCGTGATGGTTGGCAATGAGGCGGCAGTTCCGGTCGGCGATAGAACGACCACAGTGACGAGGCCATCCACTCCAGTGAGAACGCCCGTCTCGGTTGCGAGGATAGATCCAGGGTAGCCGCTGGTGATGGTCGTATACACAGCTCCAAGAGCGCTGGTGGCACTTGGAACCTGGATGACGACTGTTCCGGGATCTCCGGGATTGGCCGGAGGAATGGTCGTGGTCAATGGGCCCAGGCCGGTGAAGCCACCACTCGTGACAGTCACGTAAGAAATGACATCCACGCTGACTGAGCTGGTGGGAACCTGGACGATGACGGTTCCAAGGTCGCCAGGAGCGCCAGGGGCCACGGTAGTGGTCTGAGGAATGAGGCCGGTGTATGGACTGGTGACCGTGGTATAAGAGATGCTGTCCGTGTTGAGCACGTTACTGGGAACCTGAATAATGACCGTGGCAAGTCCGGAAGGATCAGTCGCTGCAGGAGGAATAGTGGTGGTCAGGGTGACCGAGCCGTCATAGGTGCTGAAGAGGGTGGTGAAGAAGCCACCCGGCGAAGCGGTAAGACCGCCAGTGGGGAGGCTCGAAGTATCCAAGATGTCAGGAACTTGAACGACAACTGTTCCCAAGCCCGTGGGGTCCGCGGCGGGAATAGTGGTTGTCAATGTGACTGAGCCAGGGTAGGTACTGAACACCGTGGTGAACAACGCACCCAGAGCACTCGTGGCTGTGGGAATGACTCCAGTGTCGGGGATCTGAATAATTACTGTGCCGAGACCCGCAGGGTCAGTAGCATCAGGAGGCAAAGTGGTGGCCAAAGTGACGGATCCAGGATACGTGCTGAAAATTGTGGTGAACGAGGCCGCCAGAGCACCGCCAGAGGAGCTGGAACCTGTAACCTGAGAGTCGGGCACCTGGATAATGACCGTTCCGGTTGCGAGGCCGGCGGGATCCGTGGCAGTAGGAGGAATGGTGGTTGTCAATGTGACCGATCCTGGGTAGCTGCTCACGATAGTGGTGTAGAAGATGCCAGGCGAAGCCAAGAGATCCGAGGTGGTAAGAGGAACCTGCACAACAACAGTACCAATGCTGCCTCCAACCGCGGGATCGATCGTGGTGGTGATCGGAGCAGATCCCGAGAAGAAGCTGACGATCGTCGTGTACGTGATGCTGACGCTGATGGTCGGGCTCGAAGTGGCCAGGACATTGGGCAACTGGACGATGACTGTGCCAATGTTGGCAGGGTCGCCGCTAGCCGGAGCAAGGGTCGTCGTGAGAGGAATGTCGCCAGTGTACGTGCTGAAGATTGTGGTGTAGCTGATGCCATCAGAGTTGGCAGACGATGTTGGCAACGCAGTGAGAGCCGAGCTGGGCTGAAGAATGACAACTGTGCCAGTCTCACCAGGCGCGCCGGGTGCAATGGTAGAGGTCTGGATGATGGACCCGTCGTATCCACTGAAAATGGTAGTGAAGGGCACATCAGGCGTTGCGGTGACCTCGGGCTCGAAGAAGATGATGGTGCCGACAGTGTCAGTTCCCGAGGGAGCCTGCGTGGAGAAGGATGGCAACAATCCAGTGTACGTGCTGGTGACCGTGGTGTAAGAAGAAACACCAGGGATCTGAACGCTCGAGCTGGGAACCAGCAGGATGACGGTTCCCACAGCATCGGTGCCCGCGGGAGGCAGAGTCGAGGTCGCCAGCAACGATCCTGCGTATGTGCTGATGATGGTCGTGTAGGAAACGGTGACGCTGGGCGCAGCGGTGCCCGTTGGCTCCAGAATGACGACTGTTCCGAGTCCATCGGTGCCGACCGCGGGGATAGTGGACGTGGCGATGACGGAACCATCGTAGCCGCTTGTGATGGTCGTGAAAGAGCCAGTGTTGGAGGTCGTGAGAAGCAGAGCGGGATCCAGAATGATGACAGTCGCAGGGTCTCCAGAGACTGCGGGCGGAATCGTAGAGGTCAGGGTTTCGGTTCCGGTGTACGGCCTCGTAATGGTGATGCCTGGGGTGTCGATCGTGATAGGATTGAGAATGATGATAGTTCCCTCGGTATCCGATCCGGTCGGGAAGATGGTCGTCGCAGATGGGATAGCACCCGAGTACGAGCTCGTAATGGTGGTGAAGCTGATGCCCGCACTGCTCGTGGGTACCAGAATGACAACCGCGCCAATTGTCTCTGTGCCCGTGGGCAGAATCGTCGACGTTGAGGGTACGATGCCGGAGTAGCCACTGGTGAGCGTGATGAACTGGCCAGGAGAGGCTCCGAGAGCAGAGCTTGGGACCAGGACGACAACGTCACCAGGCTCGCCCGAGGGTCCAGCGGGGAGAGTGGTAGTCAAAGTGACTGAGCCATCGTAAGTGCTGGTCAACACGTTGGGCAGAGCCGCGGTGGGAGTAGTCAAAGCATCGGTGATGCTTGGGATCAAAATAACGGTAGCACCAGGCTCTCCCGAAGGACCAACCGGAAGGGTTGTGGTGAGAGTAACCGATCCATCATAGGTGCTGGTCAGGATGTTCAAGTCTGCAGTAGGCGTGGGAATGGCACCAGTGAGACTTGGCACCAGAACAACAGTCGGACCAGGCTCGCCTGAAGGTCCAGCTGGCAAAGTGGTTGTAAGGGTGACTGAACCGTCGTATGTGCTGGTCAAGAAGCTTCCCAGCGCAGAAGTAGCGCCAGGAACCAAGACAACGGTCGGGCCAGGTTCTCCCGAGGGGCCAGTCGGAAGCGTGGTAGTGAGAGTGATGGATCCGTCATATGTGCTAGTAAAGAGGTTGGGCAATGCTGAAGTCAATCCAGGAACCAAAACGACGGTAGGGCCAGGCTCCCCCGATGGGCCGGCAGGGAGTGTGGTGGTAAGCGTGATGGATCCATCGTACGTGCTGGTAAAGAGATTGGGCAACGCCGATGTGGCTCCGGGGACGAGAACGACCGTCGGGCCAGGCTCACCAGAGGGACCGGCAGGCAAGGTAGTGGTGAGAGTAATGGAGCCATCATACGTGCTGGTGAACAAGTTCGGCAGGGCAGACGTCGGCAAAGCAGATGTCAAGCCAGGAACCAGGACCACGGTAGGTCCGGGCACTCCAGATGGACCAGCGGGAAGGGTAGTTGTCAAGGTAATCGAGCCATCGTATGTGCTGGTGAAGAGGTTGGGAAGTCCGCCAACAGAAACGGTTGGGACCAGAATAATGGTCGCACCAGGCTCGCCAGAAGGACCGGCAGGGAGCGTAGTCGTGAGAGTGACTGATCCATCATACGTGCTCGTGAAGAGGTTGGGAAGACCACCGACGGAAATCGTCGGGACAAAGATTATGGTGGCTCCAGGCTCGCCAGATGGGCCAGCAGGAAGCGTAGATGTAAAAGTAACTGAGCCGTCGTACGTGCTCGTGAACAAACCACCTCCCACATTGGTGGCGCTTGGAACCAGCACAAGTGTTGGTCCAGCAGGCAAGGTAGTTGTGATAGTGACAGATCCATCGTACGTACTGGTCAAGACATTTGGTAAGGCTGGAGAGCCAGGAATACTCGGGACCAGGACCACAGTCGCAGGGTCTCCCGAAGGGCCAATGGGCAGAGTGGTAGTCAAGGTGACGGAGCCATCGTATGTGCTTGTCAGCACATTGGGAAGTGCTGGAGCCGTGATGCCAGGAACCAAAACGACGGCAGTTGGGTCGCCAGAGGGCCCAATCGGCAGCGTCGTTGTGATTGTGACTGAGCCATCGTACGTGGACGTAAGAAGGTTGGGGAGACCAGGCACAGTGGCGCTTGGGACCACACTCGGCACAAGGACCACCTCTGCGGGATCGCCAGACGGGCCAATGGGCAAGGTCGTAGTGAGAGTAACGGAACCATCGTACGTAGAAGTGAGGATATTGGGAAGGCCAGTTGCAGTCACGCCTGGGACGGCGCTTGGGACCAGGATCACCGTCGCTGGGTCACCCGAGGGACCGATAGGCAAGGTAGTCGTCAACGTGACGGAACCATCGTAAGTCGAAGTAAGCAAGTTGGGCAGTCCAGGTGCGGTGACACTCGGTACAACACTTGGGACAAGGACCACCTCTGCGGGATCTCCTGAAGGGCCGATCGGAAGCGTGGTGGTGAGAGTAACAGAGCCGTCGTACGTGGAGGTGAGCACATTTGGGAGGCCAGCAGCGCCAGACGAGGGCACCAAGACCACAGTAGCCGGATCACCAGAGGGGCCAATTGGCAAAGTAGTGGTAAGCGTGACCGAGCCGTCATAAGTGCTTGTCAAGATATTCGGAAGACCAGCAGCACCGGTGTTGCTCGCGCCAGGTACGAGGATAACCGTGGCCGGGTCACCAGATGGACCGATAGGCAAGGTGGTCGTGAGAGTAACTGATCCATCGTACGTGCTCGTGAGAACATTGGGCAGACCGGCGCCGATCGAAGACGGCACCAGAACAACTGTCGCAGGATCGCCTGAAGGTCCAATTGGCAGAGTAGTTGTGAGGGTGACCGATCCGTCATATGTGCTGGTGAGAAGGTTGGGCAAGCCAGCGCCGATCGAAGATGGCACCAAAACAACAGTTGCCGGATCACCAGAAGGACCAATGGGCAAAGTGGTAGTAAGCGTCACAGAGCCATCATAGGTGCTGGTGAGGATGTTAGGAAGACCACCAGCGCCATCGCTCGTCGCACCAGGCACCAGAATGACCGTAGCCGGATCCCCGGAAGGGCCGATGGGCAACACCGTAGTGAGAGTGACTGAGCCGGCATAGGTGCTGGTAAGCACATTGGGCAGGCCGGGAGCATCCGTGATGGAGGCTCCCGGAACCAAGACGATTGTCGCCGGGTCTCCGGAGGGGCCGGCTGGAAGCACAGTGGTAAGAGTGACCGAGCCACCATATGTGCTCGTGAGGAGAGTAGGCAGTCCTGGGGCATCGGTGATAGGGGCACTGGGAACCAACACAATCGTCGCCGGATCGCCGGAGGGACCAGCTGGAAGGACAGTGGTGAGTGTGACAGAACCGCCATATGTGCTTGTGAGAACGTTGGGTAATCCTGGATCGTCTGTAGGAGTGACGCCAGGAACCAAGACGATTGTAGTTGGGTCGCCAGAGGGACCGATCGGAAGTACGGTTGTGAGAGTGACTGAGCCTGCGTAAGTGCTCGTAAGCACATTAGGCAGTGCTGAGGCATCCGTGATAGTGGCTCCGGGCACCAGGATGATGGTGGCGGGATCGCCAGAGGGACCAACCGGCAAGACAGTGGTCAAGGTAACAGAGCCAGCGTAGGTGCTCGTCAAGATATTGGGCGACCCAGGTCCAGCCGTGATGGTAGGGACACTGCTGGGTACCAGAATGACCGTAGCCGGATCACCAGACGGCCCAATGGGAAGGGTAGTCGTGAGGGTGACCGAACCACCATAGGTACTGGTGAACAGGTTGGGGAGGTTGATGCCAATCGAGACGTCGATGAGCGGAGGAGTGCTTGGCACCAGAATAACGGTGGCAGGATCTCCAGATGGGCCAACTGGCAGGACTGTTGTGATGGTGGATGAACCTCCATAAGTGCTGGTAAACAGACCTGGAAGGTTGATTCCAATAGAAATATCGATGAGTGGAGGAACGGCGCTGCTGGGTACCAAGATGATGGTGGCAGGATCTCCAGATGGTCCCAAAGGTAAGACCGTGGTGAGAGTGACTGAACCACCATACGTGCTGGTGAGCACATTGGGTAGACCGGGTGCAGGCGTGATGGTAGGAGTGGCACTCGGGACCAAGATGACAGTAGCCGGGTCACCGGAGGGGCCGAGAGGCAAGACGGTAGTAAGAGTCGCCGAACCTCCATATGTGCTCGTAAGCACGTTGGGAAGAGCAGGCGCCGGCGTAGTAGATGGGGTACCACCCGGCACTAAGATGATGGTGGCCGGGTCTCCAGACGGGCCAAGAGGCAGAACCGTCGTGAGAGTGACTGAACCATCGTATGTGCTCGTAAGTACGTTAGGAAGACCGGGAGCAGCTGTGATGGAAAGAATCGTGCTCGGGACCAGGATGACAGTCGCCGGATCGCCCGACGGGCCAATGGGGAGAGTGGTTGTGAGAGTGACCGAACCATCGTAGGTGCTGGTAAAGACATTGGGAAGACCAGCGCCAGTTGAACCAGAGCCGGGCACGAGAACAACAGTTGCTGGGTCCCCAGAAGGTCCAACGGGCAAGACGGTAGTAAGAGTAACCGAGCCTCCATATGTGCTTGTAAGCGCATTAGGGAGGCCGGGAGCCGCCGTGATAGAAGGAATGATGCTGGGAACCAACACAACCGTGGCGGGATCACCGGAAGGTCCAATAGGCAGAGTCGTCGTAAGGGTGACTGATCCGTCATAAGTGCTCGTAAGCACATTAGGTAGACCACCGTTGTTGGATCCAGAGCTGGGCACCAATACGACTTCTGCTGGATCGCCAGAGGGCCCAATGGGAAGTGTGGTGGTGAGGGTCACTGAGCCATCATAAGTGCTGGTGAAAATATTAGGAAGACCGCCGTTGTTCGCTCCAGAACTAGGCACAAGAATGACAGTGGCTGGGTCGCCTGAAGGTCCGATAGGCAGCGTTGTTGTGAGAGTGACTGAGCCTCCATAGGTGCTTGTGAGCACATTAGGAAGGCCAGCACCATTCGATCCAGAACTGGGCACCAAGATGACTGTGGCAGGATCCCCAGAGGGGCCAATTGGCAGAGTTGTCGTGAGAGTCACCGAGCCGTCGTACGTGCTGGTAAGCACGTTGGGTAAATCAGGCGCCGCAGTTTCGCTCGGTACAAGGATCAACGTGACGGGATCTCCAGACGGGCCAACAGGCAAGGCAGTGGTCAACGTGATCGATCCGCCGTAAGTGCTCGTCAGAACATTAGGCAGGCCAGGAGCAGGTGTCGTGCTGGGCACCAGGATGACTGTTGCAATATCGCCCGAAGGTCCGACTGGAAGCGTGGTAGTCAACGTGACTGAGCCACCATAGGTGCTAGTCAAGATATTGGGTAGGCCACCAGCGCCGGTCGGGCCTGGTACCAAAATCACCGTCTCGGGGTCACCAGAAGGACCAACCGGCAAGACGGTTGTGAGAGTGATTGATCCTCCATACGTAGAAGTGAGGACATCTGGCAAGCCAGGAGCAGGTGTCGCACTTGGAACCAAGATGACAGTCGCGACATCTCCAGAAGGCCCAACGGGCAAGGTGGTAGTGAGGGTGACCGAACCACCGTATGTCGATGTCAAGACATTGGGAAGACCAGGAGCGCCAGTCTGGCTGGGCACGAGAATGACCGTGGCAACGTCTCCTGAAGGACCAACAGGCAAAGTGGTGGTTAAAGTGACCGAACCTCCGTACGTAGAAGTGAGGATGTTGGGGAGGCCAGGGGCCGCAGTCTGACTGGGCACCAGAACAACAGTGCCAATGGGCAAGGTCGTGGTCAAGGTGACAGATCCATCGTACGTGCTGGTGAAGAGATTGCTTGGGATAGCGGGGGCAGCAGTCTGACTCGGTACCAGGATAACGGTCGCCGGGTCTCCAGAAGGTCCGACTGGGAGGGTAGTGGTTAGCGTGACCGAGCCGTCGTACGTCGAAGTGAAGACGTTGGGCAATGACGGAACCCCAGTATTGGTAGGGATGAGGATGATAGTGGCGCCAGGCTCCCCAGATGGGCCGACGGGCAAAGTCGATGTCAGCGTGACTGAGCCATCATACACACTGGTCAATACTCCGCCAGGGGCAATGGTAGGAGTGGCAATAGGAGAGCTGGGTACGAAGATGACCGTCGCGCCGGGCTCGCCGGACGGGCCAGTAGGCAGAACAGTGGTGAGGGTAACCGAACCGTCGTACGTCTGAGTAAGGATGTTGGGAAGGCCAACGGCTCCGGTGCTGCTCGGCACCAAGATGACGGTCGCTGGGTCGCCAGAAGGTCCGATGGGCAAAGTAGTCGTCAAAGTGACTGAACCGCCGTAAGTGCTCGTCAAAACGCCACCAACAGATGGAACAGTTGGTGCTGTAGATGGCAGGCCAGGAACAAAGATGACCGTCGCGCCAGGCTCTCCTGAAGGTCCGGTGGGAAGAACAGATGTCAAAGTCACAGATCCACCATAGGTCTGCGTCAGGATGTTGGGAAGGCCTGCCGCTGCGGTGCTTGTTGGTACCAAGGTGTTGCTTGGTACCAAGACCACAGTCGCTGGGTCACCAGATGGGCCAACCGGCAAAGTCGTCGTGAGCGTGACCGATCCGTCGTACGTGCTTGTCAACACATTGCCGAGAGCCTGAGTAGGGTCAACGGACGAGGCGCCTGGAGCAGAGGGAACGAAGATGACAGTCACACCAGGGTCGCCCGCAGATCCTGTGGGGAGAACAGTGGTCAGCGTAACGGAGCCGCCATAGGTCTGGGTCAAGACGTTGGGCAGCGTAGGAGCAGCAGTGATGGTCGGAGTGGCGCTGGGAGCACCCGGTACGAAGATGACCGTAGCGGGATCTCCAGACGGACCAACGGGCAAGACTGAGGTCAAAGTGACTGAGCCTCCGTAGGTACTCGTGAGGATGTTAGGTAGGCCCGCAGCACCAGTGTTGCTAGTCATCCCGGGAGTGCCTGGTACGAAGATGACTGTAGCTAGGTCTCCGGACGGACCAACTGGCAAAACTGAAGTCAAAGTAACGGAGCCTCCGTAAGTGCTGGTCAAAACATTAGGTAGACCAGCCGCACCAGTGTTACTGGTAACACCAGGAGTTCCCGGTACAAAGATGACCGTGGCAGGATCGCCAGATGGGCCAACCGGTAGGACTGAAGTCAAAGTCACCGAACCTCCATAAGTGCTTGTCAGGATGTTGGGGAGACCAGCGACACCAGTATTGCTAGTGACACCAGGGGCACTTGGAATGAAGATGATCGTCTGTGCAGGGTCCCCAGCAGAGCCGGTTGAGATGACGGAAGTCAGAGTGACTGAACCGTCATAAACACTGGTCAAAACATTGGGAAGACCTGCGGCACCAGTGTTGCTGGGAACACCAGTCACGCTTGGCACGAAGATAACGGTAGCTGGATCTCCAGATGGACCAACAGGGAGGACCGAAGTCAGAGTCACCGAGCCTCCATAGGTACTGGTCAAGATGTTGGGAAGTCCTGCAGGATCAGTGTTGCTGGGAACAATGGTCACACCCGGGACAAAGACAATGGTCTGCGGGGGCACGTTGATACCACCATCAGTAACGACCGACGTCAAGGTGACCGAGCCTGCATATGTGCTAGTTTGAATGTTGGGCAAGCCCGGAGCAGCAGAGCTACTCGGCACCAAGATGATTGTCTGGCCGGGGTCTCCGTTGGTGCCGGTAGGCAAGACAGAGGTCAACGTAACGGAGCCTCCATACGTGCTAGTCAAGACGTTCGGCAGAGCCGGGCTAGGCGTGGCAGTGGGAGTCGGGATGAGAATGACAGTCGCCCCCGGCTCGCCGAAGGGCCCAGTGGGCAGCGTAGATGTGAGGGTGACGGAACCACCATAGAAGCTGGTGAACAGACCACCGGCAGTCGGCACTGTAGCAGATGGAGTGACCGTGTTACTAGGGAGGAAGATGATTGTGGCACCCGGCTCGCCAGAAGGACCAGCAGGTAGGACTGAAGTCGATGGCACCAGTCCGCTGTAGAAGCTGGTGAGAACTCCAGCCAATGCGGTGGTCGCGGGATTGGGCGCAGCGGTGTTGCTGGGAACGAAGATGACTGTAGCACCAGGCTCTCCAGACGGTCCGACGGGGAGCGTAGAAGTAAGAGTGACTGAACCTCCGTATGTGCTGGTGTAGAGACCGGCAGCCAAAGCCGTTGTAGCGGCGGTTGGCAGACCGGTGCTGCTCGGAAGGAAGATGACGGTGCCACCAGGCTCGCCAGAGGGACCTGGAGGCAACACGGATGTCGAAGGCACCAAGCCACTGTAGAAGCTGGTAATAACACCGCCAGCAGTGGGGGTTGCGGCGCCTACTCCGCTCGTTGCACTCGGGACGAGAACAATGACCGTTCCGGGGTCGTTGGAGTTGATCGGGGCGACAGTGGTAGTCAAAGGAACGGAGCCGGTGTAGGTGGACAGGAATGTTGTGAGTACATTGTTGCCAACACCAGGAGCAGTGCCACCAGTCGAGCTCGCAACGTTGCTTGGAACCAATACAATAAGAGTGCCAGGGTCTCCAGGGTTTGCAGGCGAAGCAATGGCCGTTGAGACAACAGAGCCACCATACGTCGACGTGACAGTAGTAAGAGAAATGGCGGGCGTGGCTGTGGGAGAAGCCAGCACGTTGCTCGGAACGAGAACAACGAGGGTGCCAGTCGAGCCAGTTCCCGATGGGAGCACAGTCTGGAATGAGGTAACCGAGCCATCGTAGGTGGAAGTGAGAGTGGCAAACACTGCACTGGGTGAGGATGTAATAGCTGGAGCACCAGCACTGAGAGTACCAGGGTCGACTGTAGAGCTTGGGACAAGGATGACGAAAGTTCCTTGGGAGTTGGTTCCTGTGGGAAGGATAGTCGAGGTCGACGGCACGGGTCCGGTGTAGGTGCTGATGAGCGTCGCGAAGTTAGCACCTGGAGTAGTTCCAGGGGTTGCCGTGGTGCTTGGAAGGAGGACGATGACGGTCCCCAAGCTGTCAGTGCCAGCGGGAGCGAGCGTAGTTGTCGATGGAACCGTTCCGGTGTATGTGCTGATGAGAGTCACAAGCGACGCGGGTGCCACAGTCGGAGTTGCAGCTGGCCCTGTGGTCGGAATGTTGATCGCAGGGGTTGAAGTCGCAGGATCCTGTCCAATAGTGGGGGTCTGGATAAGAACAAGACCAACGCTGCCGCTAGCAGTAGGCAGGATAGTGGTGATCTGAGTTCCGGTACCAGAATATCCAGTCTGAACCGTGATGAACGAGAAGCCAGGAGCCGTAGGTGTAGGGGCAACATTCGTAACTGTGGGTGAAGAAGGAGAGAAGGGAGTCTGGATAATGATGGCTCCGACAGTCTCGGTTCCAGATGGGAACACTGTGGCGGTAGTCGGCACAGCTCCCGTGTAGCCAACGGTGGTAGTGAGGAACGAAAGGCCAGACGTGGGAAGAGGTGTCTGGATAATGACAGTTCCTGGATCTCCAGCGTTCACAGGTGCCAAGGTTGTAGTCGCCGGTGCAGTGCCGAAGAATCCACTTGTCAAAGTAATAAACGATGCTGGAGCAACGGTGACTGAAGGAGCAGCAGCAGAAGTAGGCGTCAAGACGATCAAAGTCGTCGGGTCGCCAGCGGAAGAGGGAGTAAGCGTAAGAGTAGACGTGGCAGAGCCAGCAAATCCGCTCGTGACGATAACGTTGGGCAAGGCGTTTGTGACGCCGGGTGCCGCGGTTCCAACAGATGGAGTCTGGACAACCACACTTCCAGGGTTGGTGCCCGAGGGAGGGAAAGTGACCGTGGTGGGCAGAGTGCCGGTGCCAACAGTCGTGGTCAGGATGAAGCCGCTGGGCACAGTAGGTGGTGGAGGATCACCACTAATGCTGATCAAAACAGTCGTGCTGATTCTTGTGGGAGTCTGGATGAGAACGATGCCAACAGAGTTGGTTCCCGTAGGAAGAATCGTCACCGTTGTCGGCTCAGTGCCGGTGAATCCAGTGACAGCCGTGATGAAGCTGTTGGGAGCAACAGCAACGCCAGAGGTAGGAGTCTGGACAACGACAACTCCGGGCTGGGTGCCGGTTGGCGGCAGAGTAAAAGTAGTTGGCGTGGATCCAGTGTAGCCAGTGGTGACGGAGACGAAGCCGGGCGCGGTGACAGCCGGGTCAACGATGGGAGTCGTTGCGCCTCCGGCTCCTGGAGCAGTGGGGGTCTGAACAATCACGGTCCCGATAGTGTTGGTGCCGGAGGGCAAGACAGTAGATGTCGCCGCAACAGGTCCGCCGATGGAAATGGTGATCTGAATGTTCGGCAGACCCAACGAGATGGATGGCAAAGTTACAGCACCTCCAGAGAAGATGGGTGTCTGAACGACCACGGTGCCAACCGTGTCAGTTCCACCGGGGAAGTAAGTAATCGTAGTTGGCGCAATGCCAGTGAATCCCTGGGTAGTAGTGATGAAGCTATTGGCCGCCACGTTGGTGGCAGAGACCGAGGGGTTCGTAAACGGGGTCTGAACGACCACGAGACCAGAGCCACCGGAAGACGGCTGCACGGTGACGGTAGTGGGGAGTGATCCGGTGAAGCCAATCGTGGTGGTCTGAAGAATGTTGACCTCCACAGAAACCGTGGGCGTCTGGATCAAGACGACACCGAGGGTGTTGGTTCCCGTCGGTGGCAGGGTGGTAGTTTGAGGAACGGATCCGGAGAAGCCCTGGAAGAGAGTCGTGAAGACACCAGCGCCTGGAGCGGCAGTCGCGGCGACAGTCGGTGTCTGGATAATCACGAGGCCCACCGAGTTGGTGCCGGAGGGAGGGAGAATGGCGGTTGTTGCTACCGGTCCGCCCTGGGTCAGGGTGATGAAGGAACCCAGGCTGAGGCTGGGGATAGACAGAATGATGGTGGGCAAGTCGATGGAAATGGGTGGGATAGTGAGTCCAGGGAGCACCAAGCCAGAGTTGACTGCGCCTGGAGTGGTAGCAGCACCGGTGGGCAGGGCTGTGAACAAGGACGAAGGCACCTGGACGAGAACAGTGCCAACAGTGTTTGTTCCCGATGGCAACAGCACGTTCGTCTCCACGGCGGGAACGTCAGCCGGTGTTGTGACCGTCACGAAGGGCACACCAGAGGGGAGGTTCAGCTGAGAAGCAGCTGGAGTGGCAGGGGTCTGGACGAGAACAGTTCCTAGAGTGTTTGTTCCCGTGGGAAGCAACACGTTTGTTAGCACAGCAGGGACATCACCAGCAGTAGTTACCGTAACGAATGGCACTCCGGAAGGGAGGGTCAATTGGGGAGCAGCTGGGTTAGTAGGAGTAAGGACGACAACCGTTCCTGGAGCGCCGCTGACAGCAGGAGGAACGGTAAAGGTCGAGGGCTGAAGGCCGTTGAAGCCGCTCTGGATGGTGGTAAAGGCCCCCAGAGCTCCAGGTGCAAGACTGGATGGGACTCCGTTGGCACCAGGATCCTGTGTCTGCGTCTGGCCTGGCTGAGCAGTAGCAGTGGCCAAGGGGTCGCCCAGGACCACAACCGTGCCGACAATGTTGGTTCCCACAGGAGGGATAGTCAGCGTGGTGGGAGTTGACCCAACAGCTGGTCCGGTGAGGGTGGTGAAGGAACCAGGCAGAGCCCCTTGGGACGCCGCGGCAGTCGCAGCAGCTGGGTCCGGAGTCAACACCAAGGCGACGGGAGCAGTAGATGCAAGGCCCTGTGGGAGGACGGTAACAGTGGTAGGTTGAGAACCGCCAAATCCAGTGGTGATGGTGTTGATCACATTAGGAGCCACAGTCGCAGCAGATCCCGCAGGGTCAGGCGCAGCAGAACCGGCAGCGTTGGTCAATGGCGTAAGGACCAAGACTTGAGAGGCCGTTTGGGTCCCCAGAGGAGGCAATGTGACCGTGGTCGGCACAGATCCGGAGTAGCCACTAGTGAGGATATTCGGGAGAACACCTGCGTTCGAAGCCGCCGGGTTTGCGGCGGATACACTAGGGGCGGTAGCTTGCGTAGCAGCGTTCGTGATAGGAGGCACAGCCGTAGTTGCGGCAGGGTTTCCAATGGTGACTCCCGCACTGAAGCCGACGGGCAATTGCTCGACGATGGTGGCAACCGGGTTGTCACCCTGAGAAGGGAGGGTCAAAGTCAACGGATCTGTGCCATTGTAGTCACCTCGGATAGTGACGAGGTTGGCAGCCAAAGCGGCTGGTGCACTCGTGGCCGGATCATCTCCGCCCAGTCCCACGGCGACTACAATAGTTCCGGGGGCAGAAGCAGAGTTTCCTAACAAGGGCAAGGTGATTGTGGCACCGAGACCGGCAATCGGGAGCGCGGCCAAGGTTCTGAAGAGAGCAGGCCGAGCAGTGATTGAGGGAGTCTGCACAATAATGGTACCCAGAGTCGGGTTGCCGGCGGGAACGATGGTGAGCGAGACTGGAAGAGATCCAGTGTTGCCATCAGTCGTAATGGTCGTAAAAGGGCCGGTGAAGGAGGTGATGGCAGGCTGGACAACAACAGTGCCGGTCTGGCCGGTGCCTGAGGGAGGAACAGTGATGGTGACTGGTGATCCTCCCGTGTTACCGCCGGCCGTGATAGTTCGGAAAGGTCCGTTGAAGGCCGTAGGATCCAGGCTTTGAACGAGAACGGTGAAGACGCCGTCCGTCGCACCAGCGGCCGGGGGAATAGTTACAGTCGCGGGAGCATCACCCTGGCCGCCGCCAACGGTAACGGTCGTGAACGGACCTGCAGCGGGGCCTGTGAAGCCATCCGTGGTCTGTACAATAACAGTTCCGGTCTGTCCTTCGGGTGCCGGGATGGAAAGTGTAGTTGGCGTGGCTCCGGCAACGCTGATGGTCTGGAAGATGGCACCAAGAGCTGGTGCCGCAGTCTGTACGATTACCGCACCAACACTGCCAGCCGTCGGGATAAGCGTGAAGGTTCCGGTCTGGCCGTTTTGGCCCTGTATGCTCACGGTTGTGAGCCTAGCAAGGAAATCGGCCTCGCCTCCCGGAGTCTGGATAATCTGAAGCACAGCATCGGCCCCGGTCTGCGTCACACCCCTGTTACCGGGTAATGTGATGGCAGCGGGTGTAACACCGGCGTTACCGAAAACCGTAATGACGTTCTGAGGACCAGTAACAGTGATGGAGAAGCTGTCAAAAGTCTGCGCAAAGACCGTACCCGCAGATCCAGCCGAGTCCACGACGGTGAAGTTCCTGGGCACGCCCGTGGCACCACCAACGTTGACGGTAGCAAAGATCTGAGGCAAAGCCGCAGCACCTCCAGATGCTGTGGGAGCGATTGTGACCGGAACTGATGCAGGGCTAGGTCCGGGGTTGATGACGCTGCTCGCCCCTGGCGCAGACTGCGTGACAAAACCACTCGGGTCGATGGGAGTGCCCAGGACAGTTGCTGTCTCTGGAACACTACTGCCGGTGGTGGCCGCAATGTTCGCAAAAGGGGTAAAGACCAAGTAGGTTCCGACGCCGTCAGGACCAGAGGGGAAGATTGTGATTGTGCTTGCCTCAGATCCGGCCTGGCCACCTCTTGTGATGGTGACATAGGCGTTTGGGATTGATGAGACCTGGTCAATGATTCTAAGTGGTCGTGTTAGCTTTAATGTCTAGGTATGAACTTTGAGAAGCTCGAATAACCTACCTAGTAACTTGGGACGTAAGTGTTCCCAACTTGTCAATTTCGGTGACCAAGGTCAATGGAGCATTAGTGATGGTGAGGGTCAGCCCATCATCGAGTACCAGGACAGTGTTGACTGGTAAGTAGGCGCTGATGTAGATGGGCTGTCTGACGATGAACTGCACCGGCTGTACTTCGACAGATGTGATGCCGGCAGCACAGACGGGATTATCGGGAAACTGAGGCAATGCGATGGCCGGCCAGTACTGGCTGGCGGCGGCCAACAGGCCCAGGATGGTGTTGAACTTCATGGTGATGATGAAGCGCCGCTGCGTGATTCCAGCACGATAGTCTCAAGACCGTCCAAGACACCAGGTCTGGAAGCCGAGCAGCAGCAAGATTAACCTTAGTTGTGTAACGTCGTTGTTGCTAATCAGGGCGATCCTTTTCTTTTGTTTCCTTTCGGAATATTAAGGTATAGTAGAGTCGTACAAGGAAATATCTGGTCGACTATTGACCATGCAGTAGCATCTCTCGGAGAAGACGGGAGGCGCCGCTGTTTCAACGCGGGCAGGAAAAAGAGAGAAAAGGCAAACAAGAGAAGCGTGCAATGCCAAAGTGTGTGGACGCCGTGAAACAAATACTAGATGTGTTTCTTGTACGACGGTCAACGAAGATGGCTCGATTGTTTTAATGGGGAGGTTCTGCTGTAGCTTGTTGCCGTGAGACTGGTGCGTTCCTAACCGACAGAATGGGCCGAAGGCGTGTGGAATGTCGTATCCTATGCGGAACGATGGCAGGATCTGTCTTCGGCCCAAGGCGCATGCCAAGCTGGCTCACAATGTCTCTGTGTGATGAGGACGATGGATACTCTACCTCGGACTCGATTGCAACGTCCAAGTAATGACGAGATGTACAATAGGGTAGATATCGGAAGCGAAGAGAGGCAAATGAAGAGCGAGAGAAGAGGCGAGAGGGAGGGAGAGATGGCGGGCAAACCGTGGCGAACCTGTTACCGGGCCGAGTGCCTCTCGTCGAGGATACGGCAGAGGCATGAGAGAGAGGCCAGAGCCATCTCATTCGAAAACAGGAGGATTGATGCCTCGCCTGACTTCATGGTTACCTACTCTGTGACTGAATCTGGCCGAGTTCTGCTCGTTCCGGCCAAAGTTGTGATGCTGTTCAGAAGCGATTGGTGAGAATGGGGTCTGGCGTTTTTGGAGATCTAAGACAAGACCGTCAACCGAGAGGGAACTAGAGCCGCTTCGGGAGCCCACGGCGGATTTTCCGCGCTCGGCGTAGGTGAGATGGAGAGCGAGACTGCTGTGATTACTACTAGGTAATACTCAAAAATGCTCAGAGTTGGCTCATTGTAGACAATCACATTGTTTGTTCGTCGGTAGCGTCAGCGGTGGTGGGTGATGTGGTTGAGAGCCACAGGAGCCTAGGTATGCGGGCAAGGTGAGAAAACACATAGCTAAGGTGATTTGACTAGCATTAGACTCCCGTCATCTCAGATTCCGCGCCCGCAGGAACGACGACGGTTGAGATGACAACATCCGCCTGGCCCTATTGCTTTGCGGGTCGTCTGAAAGAGGGGAGGATTTGCTCCCGTTCTTAGTAGCTTTTCTTGCACCTTACCAACCTTACTTATTAGATGCTTAGCAGAAGCTCTCTCCGCTAGCTGCCGCCCAGGTCTAGGATGACTTGCAGCCTCCGTACGAAAGCGTTGCTTGTGGGTCATAGGTAGCTATCTGGTCGTTTCTGTGTGTGCTTGTGTGTGTGTGTGTGTGTGGGAGGTCAGTCAGACGCAATAAGGTGCGAGACGGTTCGAGGGAGCTGAAGTCCATCTTGACCAAATCCGTCCAAGCTTCTCCTAACTCCCCAGCAGGAGGCGTTCAATGCAGCCGAACCGTTGCTGGTTGTGGGCTACTTGTTGTGGCAGGCCCTCCTCCTTCGGCCGCCTCTTTCAACCTGCTGTGGTGCCTCTTTGGGAATATCACCGCCACAGCCCGGAAACGAACTGACGGGAAGTGGACGGTGAGTCGGAGGTCCCCCATCCCGAGGGGGGTGTGTGCATTACCTAGTCAACTCTGTCGGTCTGGTCTGTGGGAGTGGAGGAGTGAGGAGTTGCTGTCAAATAACACACTAGCAGAGTTAGACCGCAACTAAAGACGGGAAGGGAATGCGAGAGATCTACGCAACAGTTGGCGCGGTTTTCCCCGGGGGAGTCGTCGCGGTTGGTCAGCCGTCATCCCGTCTAGTTCCAAGACACACACCCTACAAAGAGCCTAGACCCTTGAACTCAATCTCACCGTTCCCACGGAAGCTTTGACAGTTTTTCTTATTTCCGATCTCTGCTACTTGTTCGGATCCGGTTACCACTCGCCCTTGGCCAGGACGGCCCGTGACAGTTGAAGCTATCCCAACCTGTCTTCCCGAACAAGACAAGCAGTCCTGGGAGACTACAGATACCCTCACACACGACCGCACGCGGACAGTGGCGCTGAGCGAGGCCAGGTATTGGAGTCTCTGATCAGAAGGCATCACGATCGCAGTCACAAAGACCTTGGCAAGTATGCATTCAGCCGCTCTCTCGAGCAAACCCCCTCATACTGTTCCTTTGCAGCTCTATGAGGGCTTTGTGGGAATCGCGTCTGTTCCGGCCGTGAGACTCTCGAGAGGCCCTTGGGGGGCGTCTTTGCAGGCCCCAATAGGGTTGGATGAACAATAGAATTGACGCCCGAGTGGACATGACGCTCCGGAGATGGACGTCAGATGTCGACAAACGGCTTGGCGGCTGGAGTGAAGGCGGCACGGGAGGCATACGATATCGATCCATCTTGAGATCAAGATGTCCTGATATAGAGTTTGTCCGCATTCCTTCTTCAGCCCGAGATTCCTGCCACTCTTGGACCCTGAATCCAACCGCGACAATCTTGAACCATCCAACATCAGCTCACTCCAGCTCACCTCTCGCCTCTTACAAAAATGTTGCAATTCATCATTGCATTCGCTGCCGTTGCGGCTGGCGCAAGGGTCTACCGCAGACAAGAAGATTGTTCCTCCACCACAACGTTAGATGCCCTCACCGTTACCAGGGTTGAGCCGATCTCGATCTATATCCTCCCTCAACAACTTGCACCAACAGGGACCAACAATGATCCCTTCACCGCAGTCTATACAACAGTCTATCCCACCTTCTGCCCGGAGTGCTCTCAGGGTCTGAGGCCAGAGACTTACACCATCACCCAGACCTGCACCGGCATCACAGGATGCCAACCATCAGGCAGTGTCCTTCCTCCGGGCTTCACTACAACCCAAGCTACTTGCACCGACTGCCCAACACCATTCAGTGCCGTCCTCACTGTTCCTCAAGCGACCGATGCCGTCGTCACCTCAACCTTCCTCGAGACCATCACCGAGCCTGGCTTGACCACGACGCGCACAATCGTCCAGACCTGCGCGAGCGAGCCTTGCTTGCCTCAAATCACCAATATCCCTGGACGCGTCTCTACCTTCGATGGGGGTCTCTTTGCTGAGCCGGTTACACAAACAGCTACAGTGTCGGTCTCAGTCACCGTGACCGACAAGTCAACTGCAACCGTCACTGCCGATGCTGATCCATCCTTCCGTCCTGGCAACTTCAACAGTGGTGCCGGACACGTCGTCTCTTCAGACAAGTCTCTTGTTCTTTGCGTCAGCGCATTTGTTCTTTTGTTGATCATGTCTTCATAAGCAAGCGAGCGGGTGGATCGAGCGGGAAAATGTGTGTGTGCCACAGATTGTGGATGATGTTGATGGCCATTAAGACTCATGAACTCTTAGCCTGCGTATTGCTTCATGTTGCCTCTACTACTTCTAAGGACAATACTTGATACCAATTGTTTTCAATACGAGCCCTTGAGGGCTTTTACTTTCATTTCCTTGTATAACCTTACTTCGGTCCAGTATATACCCTCATCATAGTACTTTATCCACCAGAGGATCTTCAACATTTGTTCCATTTAGTAGATATTAGATATACACAAAATCAACGAGGTCTGAGTACTTCTTCTTCAAATCAAATTTGATTATAAGATTACTTGCTCCATTTCTTGATCGCGAACATTCTGCGCATTCTTCGTTTTCTTTCACTACCACGACTACTTGGCCTTAGTTGGAGATGAATCTTTGTGCCAACACCACTAATAAAAGTTGTGTAACTATCACCATTCTACATCCGACTCACGAAAAGACCGCTTTTGAAAGATGCTAGATCCCGCAATATTAGGGTGCGGGTAGCAGTCAGATCATGAGGTCCCCCTGATATTAGTCACATTTTGGGGTTACACGCGAATTCCAAGGTTCGAGAGCCCAGTGCCTCCCCTCCCTCGTCTGGAAGTAATATCCCCCCTTTTGGGAAAAAATAAGAGTGATCTGCGTCTCTTGGCCATGCTTCCCATTGTCAAAAGAAATATGCGTCGTCGGGTCTCGTCTGCATGTCATTTTCTGGGCGATCATTTCATCACGGCCCTGTCCATCGGGTCTCGATGTGACGACAAACCCCTGTGACCCCATTGACCCCCCCAGGAACCATCCCGAGATCATGGACATGGGCACATATGAATCCGAGAGTGAGGTTTGACCTCATGCTCGGCTCCTAGATCTGCACAGCTGAACATCTGGGAGTCTTGGAAATGTCTGCATTCGTTGAACTTTGGAAGCCATCTTGAACCCTGCTGACTGGATGTCGCGGCGGCTGGAACTAGGACTGCTGATCATATGCGATTCCGTCTGGTCTATTCTGAATTCTATCTTTACCCTTCTCTTGCGGGGCCGTTTCGCCGCACTCCTCCTCCTCCCGTGGGACCCCGGCCGTAGCTACACAGGCTATTATCTCACACTTTTTTTCTTGTTTACCGGCCCGTACTCACGGGCAAACCCTCGGCTCGCGCCTGATCTGATGATGTGTCTGGATTGGCGGGAGGGTCAAATTCCGCGCAAGCCACGGATGTCACTAGCCCATTTCTCCTCATTCCATCGACAAAGGCAGCGCTACGCAAACTCTCTGCCCACCCGTTGCTGCTACCAGGCTGGCCAGCACTAAGATCTGCAAATCTCCTCCCGTTGCGTCTGTGCGTGATGCGAGATGGCCCTCTCTTCTCTCTACTTGTTGCCAGCCGGGTGGGATGTGAAATGTGATGAGATGTGACTTGAAACTATCGCCCCCGGTGACATCTCTGGTGGCATAATTGTGGCATAGATGGTGTATGCCACCCCTCAACGTCGACGCAGAGACGATAGGTACGCCCTGGGTAACTATCTAAGTTAATCCGTCAATGGTTTTGTGTAGATCTTTTCTCATTTTTCCTCCTTTGCGAATATGTGGCGTGACATCACTTCGCTCCGTTCGTGAAGAAGAAAAAAACCGCCGTCAAGGCCCCAGTCATGCAGATGATGTCGGTGCCGCAGCCTTCATCACCTGCTCCAACCACCAAACGTGAATGCGGACATCGTCAGTGAGCTCAGGGTGGAAACTCGTGGCAAAGATATTGCGCTGCCTCACAGCGACAATATCACCGACCGAGTCGTCCGCAGTGCTCTGGCTGACGCCTTCAGCGGCCTTGTTCTTTCGCCCCGGAAGAACGGCAAGGACCTCGACAGCCGAGGAGGCCGGCTTGTCGCCCTTCTCGCCCGCCTCGGTGGAGAGGATCTCCTCAACGATTGGGGCGCGGATGAAGACGCCAGGGTAAGGGGATGACGCCGTTTTCGTGTTGCCGTCGCCCTGCGTCAGGAAGGGCAGGTCTAGGTCCGCGACGAAACTCTCAATTTGTCGACCAAAGTGGTTGCGGTGGACGCGAACGCCCAGGCCGCCGATGAGCTCTTGGCCGCCCTTCTTGGTGGCATTTGCCTCATCAGCGAGAAGGATGGCGCCGGCGCAGGTTCCCCAGACTGGCTTACGGTCGACTCTAAAAAGAAGAATAAGAATTAGACCTTGTCTCACGGGAAAACTCTCTCCAAGACCTCCAAGGTATTCGCAAAAAGTGAGTGAGTGCGTGAGTGAGGGAGAATACTAGTGAAAAAGCAACCGAATGAGGTGTGGAATTCACTCAATTTCACACATGACATCATGAAAGCAAACTCGGATCTTTGGTAGGTGAGAGTTGAGCGAGGTGGCTTACTTGACGAATTCCTTGAGGGGTTCCATCAACCCGGACTGCGCCGCGATAAACGAGATGGTTGTGCTCTCTCCGCCTGGAATGATGAGGGCATCGCAACTACGGAGCTCTGCCTCGGTGCGGACCTCGATGGCAGCGATCTCGGGTCTCGGGCTTGGCACCGAAGACTCGGCCGTAGCGAGGTAGACGGCGGCCTTCCGTACGAGCTGGACATGTTCATGGAAGCCGCCTTGAAGAGCCAGAACGCCGATAGTGAGAGAAGGCATTTTGAGGAGTGTGTTGTGAGATTCAACGTTGTAAGGCTTGTAGCATTCAGCAGGGTTCTTGAGGATGATGGGTAGTAATAGAGTCGCAAAGGGATCCGAATGTTGTGTTTGAGTCATTTACACAGACTCTGATTGAATGAAGTCGGACACCACGCCCCGGACCGGTGAAGAGCAGCGAAAGATTGTGGGCTATCCGCGCAAGATAATTAGGATAACGGGGATTTGGGGGTTGCTTCGTTGGCCTTGGCGACAACGGCCTCGTTCAAGACCCTTGCTAGCTAAAGTAAGGTACTTTATGTTGCCCGCACTGCAGTAATCGGCGGTTTAGTCAGAGAGGTTGGCTGGCAGCCATGTAACGGTGGGCTTAGCAGTAGTTCGCCGCCGACTCGCTCCGCTGTAGGTAGTCCACAGATTGTAGACCAGGTATGTCCCAACTGCTGTGGGCGCAAAGGGCGTAAAGGGCGCGGGACTGCTTGATGTCAAGACCAAAGATCCATGCAAATGGTGTTATACTACTTGGTAGTTGATGTCAAAGACTGGCGGAGCAACGGGACAGGGAAAGGCGTCCGTCAGATGGAGGCACGGATGATGGAACTGCAGCGGCGGCGGCGAGAGAAGATTCCATGCATACGGGGCTTATTCCAGCTTGACTCTGCAGCTCGGGCGGAACAAGATGGGGCGATCTGGGTGTTGTCCCGCGCGGAACAGAACTTGAAGGGAGCGGCATGGAGGGGGGCGCCGAGGGGCATCGCTCGGATCTACATCCGATGACAACCGCTCTGCTCTCCGCCCGCCCTTCAGTCTTTGGTAACTGTCGCCGCCGTTCGGAGCATATGGAAGATCGGTAGAAACTTATCACCAATTGTGGAGGAAGCATTTGGCTCAGCCGGGTTGCGAGTTACCAGGGTGAGATGCACATTGGTATTACGATTACATACGCTATATGCGCGCATTGTCAGAGTGACCCATGATCAAGAGAATATGTCGGGCCATGATCCATCCACAACACGAACACGTCCCACAACACGAATCCCTCAGCTTTCTCCTTATCTGGCAATACCAGGGGAAGCGTGTCAAGAGTCCAGACATCCAGAACTGTCTCCCGCCACCCGTTCAAACACCGGTGCGTGGGACTGGGCCGCCCTCCGCGCGCCCGCCATGGCCTACGACTTTGCCTTCGGGGGATACTTCGATGACACTGCCATTCCATTAAGGTTCTCCATGTACCGGGTCCCGGAGTAACCGTATCTTGCCTTTCCGAGATCGGGCCCTGACCCGTCGTCCCCCCCCTCCATGCTCGCTGCAGGCCATCCATCTCACAGAGTCGCAGTCTACTGTGCAGTAGGTACACCATAGTCATGACTATCTGCAGACTTGCTGGGTGGTAAGCTCGGCCCTAGGGGTCCCCTACGGCCAAGTGTCGCCGCCGACTCAGTCGCGGACCACGCGCTGCTTTGCTCGGCTCGCCTAGGCGGAGGGGTTTTTCTGTACCACCACCGTTCAGTCTTGTTCTCCAAGCAAATGGAAGCGATCCGCGGGAAAGACGGGATGACTCGGTACAGCAGAAGTGTAAAATTTTTCTCTCTCCTTCGTCCAATCTTGGGCCCCTCGCTGAACATGCCGTGTCATCATCGAAGTTGTTGTCTGCCGCCATATACATATTTGCCCCCCCTTCGTTCACATCTCATTCTCGAGACCCCTTTTCCCCGGATTTCATGACATACAACCAGACCCATCGTGAAGCGGAGCATCTTGAATCCTCGTTAACCATTTTGAGGCCTCCTTTCTCTCTGATTGATTGAAAAAAAAAGATACCCCTCACTTCCAGAGCCGTTCTATTCCCGTCTCTTTCACTCAGACCTTCTGTATCATCCCACCTCACAACCTCTTCGACTCAGTATTATCGCTTGTCTCATAGCGGTTCATCCTTCTCAAAGATACCCCCCGAAAAGTTACTACTCAAACTCATATCACAATGACCAACAACGACGCAACCAAGCCTAACGGCACCAACGGCGACGCCAAGAATACGTTCGCCGTCAAGGCCGGACTCGCCCAGATGCTCAAGGGAGGTGTCATCATGGACGTGACCGACGCCGCCCAGGCCCGCATCGCCGAGGAGGCCGGCGCCTGCGCCGTCATGGCCCTGGAGCGCGTCCCGGCAGACATCCGCAAGGACGGCGGCGTCGCCCGCATGTCCGACCCTGCCGTCATCAGGGAGATCCAGAATGCCGTCACCATCCCCGTCATGGCCAAGGCCCGCATCGGCCATTTTGTCGAGTGCCAGATTCTCGAGGCTCTCGGCGTCGACTACATTGACGAGAGCGAGGTCCTCACCCCGGCTGACAAGGTCTACCACGTCGAAAAGGCCGACTTCAAGGCCCCCTTCGTCTGCGGCTGCCGCAACCTCGGCGAGGCCCTGCGCAGAATCGCAGAGGGCGCCGCCATGATCCGCACAAAGGGCGAGGCCGGCACCGGCGACGTCGTCGAGGCCGTCACCCACGTCAAGCAGGTCACCAGAGACATTGCGCGCGCCAAGGGTGTTCTCGCGACCGAGGGCATCTTGGGCATCCGCGCCCTGGCGAGAGAGCTCGAGGTCGACCCTACGCTCCTCCAGCAGACGGCCGAGCTCGGCCGTCTCCCCGTCGTCAACTTTGCCGCCGGCGGTGTCGCCACCCCCGCGGACGCGGCGCTGATGATGCAGCTCGGCTGCGACGGTGTCTTTGTCGGCAGCGGTATCTTCAAGTCTGGCGACCCGGCCAAGCGCGCCAAGGCCATCGTGAGAGCGACGACGCATTACAAGGATGCCAAGGTCCTTGCCGAGTGCAGTGAGGGACTTGGTGAGGCCATGGTCGGCATCAACTGCGACAGCTTGAAGACTGAGGAGAAGCTGGCCACCCGTGGGTGGTAAGCAGAGGTGCTGAGATGCTCAGGAGCTTAGACTGCTAGGTGGCAGCGTGTGTGTGAGATTTGGGATGTTCATATGGGTTCATGACTCTGCGATATGAAAAGCAGTGATTTTCTTTTTCAACCAAGACATGGAGGCATTGTGGCCGCATCAGCTAGCGAAGCCGAGGGAGTCCTTCTTCTACGGAGCATTTGGAAAAATTTGGGTATAATAAAGTCTACCTCGTTTGAGGCTGAATCTTTGGTTATTCATTCTCTTTTGGTGATGTCTCAGAGTGCCTCGCTGTAATTCCATGAGCAAAGAGCACGCACCCATCCCTGGTGTCTACCACACCACCTTCATGACTCTGGTTTAAGGTTTCTGACACGTTCTATGCAAACGAGGAATTGTTCTAGAACTTTCAATTGTAAATAATCACACAACCTCAACCAAGTCTTCGCGACGAACAGCTCCGGCTTCATAGAAGCACCACATCCAGGTGGATCCCGAAGATAGCGGCGGACATAGCTCAGTTGGGAGAGCGTCAGACTGAAGTGGGTTCTGAACCCTAGAAACTTCAATCAATCAATCTGAAGGTCGTGTGTTCAATCCACACTGGCCGCAACTTCACATTTTGCTCAGGGCGCATTTACTTCATTTTGTGGTTATCTTATATTTTGTGACTTCTTGTTGAATTATTGTCCTTTTCTTCTGATGTATTCTTGAAAATGTGACCATAAATAAAGTAAGTAAGTAGTCTTCGTTGCGGAGTGAAATGTGGAGTTGGCTCATGAGAAAACGAAGTACATCGTGTTTCTTGCCTTTTGTAAATAAACGTCAGACTCTCGCCACTAACCTTACAGATAAACTTCCTTTCTTTGATACTGAGCGAGGCATTTATGGTGCTCGTGGTTTAAATTCAAATTGACCATGATTGCAGTTCTTCAAACGGGTATACACATTGCCTTCCTGCTTACACTTACTTAGGACCACCTAAGATCACTCATTCATCTTCGCCAATCCTTGATATATTCTTTGAGTCATCTTTTCGGTTGATCCCTTACGGCGCCTACCGGATTCCTCAGAATTATACTAATTTACCTCTCAGAATGAAGTCATATTGACCAAAATACCTCAAGCTTGTCCATCTTGACCAAAGATCGGCGATGTTACTTTAACGTCTTTCTGTAGAAGCTATCTAGACAACATCCACCGACGCAAAGTCTCTTCTCCAGTGTCGCCCATGACGTTTTTTCCAGGCCCTCGAGTTGGATCGTCACGAAGATGAAGCAAGCCAAAGAACGCCCAGCATCTTGGCACGTCAATTCTGCACGGGTTGGTTCTTCAGGAAACACTTTGTTGTAAGCATCAAATTGGACTGCCTGACTAAACCACATGAGTTGAATGTAGCCTGAAGCTTTTCGCCCACGCAGTGAAGCTTCGAAAGAAAGCACGTTTCGTCTTTGACAGCAACGAGGGGTAATACAAGCAGCTCACGAGATTCCATTCAGGAACCAGAAGCCTCAATCTTCCACACAGAGGTGTGTCCTCAGACAAGACTTCTCCATCGGACGATCCCAGCATACATCTCAGATCCGATCCAAGAAGTGGCAGCAAGTAGGCCAAGCGCTCTCCCCTGGCGGCGTTGCACCGTCTCTAACAAGTTCATGTAGTGAGAAAGGACGAAATAACGCCCTTCCCGTCAACATGGCTGTGGGACGCCCTGGCTAATAACTAATAACTGTCGACCAGGCCCAAGCCCTTCTCAAATCCATTTGGAATCTTGGAAGGGGGTGAAGTCCACCCATCTAGGGCTGAGAACAAAGACATTGAGAGAAAAGTGCTCAAGAATGGCCAGGAATGGATTTATGGCGTGGGGGTGAGCACACTTGTTTAGTTCCCGAAGGCTTAAAAATACCTAAAAGGCTTAACAATTCCTCGGGACCACCGATCTTCTTTGAAGCACAACAAGTCCGGTTTGAAGTCCGGCTGCCCGCTTGGGAAGCAAGTGGAATAGTAGATTCCTATTCTGTCCTGCCCTATTCAGCCTGTCTATCTGCTTGTTATTCTAGAGAGGAAATCGCAAGGCGCGTATTCTCTGGTGATAATGTCTCAGCCAACATCGAGATGCTCAAAATAGCGCGTCTATGCCTTGGAAATGTTGGAACTTTTGGTGTTTTTGAATCTTGATTACATTTGTGAACCAGGAGCGCCATGCGCCTTGTCCATG